TAGAAGTACAAGACACACAATGTTCTTTGATTGTATATCTGCTACGATTGTGTATCCGTTGTTTTAGCTGACTGACGCCTGGGTTTGGCTCTTTCATGATGACGCAAATTCCAATATATAATGTTTCCCTGTTTATTGTTCTACCTGAATCTACCACCTGTTGTGAATAAACTTCCAGGTTGCTCTGGTGTGCAAAGATCCCTGCCTATGCGTCTGATTTTCGACACTAGTCCTATTAATTTATCACAAAAAATATCTATTTGATCGGATCGGCCATGATCGGTATCGGCAGGTCAAAATTGTATTGATCGTGATCAGCCAAAAAATTCCTGATCGGTGCACCTCTAACATAGACACACAGACACAGGTACATATAGACACAGAGACATAGACACATATAGACACAGAGACACAGGTGCATAGAGACACACAGACATAGACACATATAGACATAGAGACACAGGTACATATAGACACAGAGACACAGGTAGATAGAGACACTGGTACATATGAAACAGAGTCCCAGGTACGTATAGACACAGAGACACCGGTACATAGAGACACAGAGACACAGGTACAAATAGAAACAGAGAGACACAGGTACATATAGAAACAGGGAGACAGGTACATATAGACACAGAGAAACAGGTACATATACAGTAGAAACAGAGAAACAAAGGTACAGTGCCTTGCGAAAGTATTCGGCCCCCTTGAACCTTTCAACATTTCGCCACATTTCAAGCTGAAGACTGCTGTTCACAAACGCTCTCCATCCAACCTCACTGAGCTCGAGCTGTTTTGCAAGGAAGAATGGGAAAGAATTCCAGTCTCTCGATGTGCAAAACTGATAGACATACCCCGAGCGACTTGCAGCTGTAATTGCAGCCAAAGGTGGCGCTACAAAGTATTAGCGCAAGGGGGCCGAATAATATTGCACGCCCCACTTTTCAGTTTTTTATTTGTTAAAGTTTAAATTATCCAATAAATTTCGTTCCACTTCACGATTGTGTCCCACTTGTTGTTGATTCTTGACAAAACATTTAATTTTTATATCTTTATGTTTGAAGCCTGAAATGTGGCAAAATGTTGAAAGAGTCAAGGGGGCCAAATACTTTCGCAAGGCATTGTACCTATGGAAAGAGAGACACAGGTACATCTTGCTCTATGCTTGCACTCATGGCTGAAACAGTGGGTTAGTTAAATGTATTTCTGATGCCGTAGATCATATAAACATAACGACATAAACCAAACTAAAACTCAGATGGTGCGTTTCAGGAGGAAGTCATTTCCATGAAGCAGAAACGTTCTCAGAGTTCTGCGATGTGTCCCTCAGTACAAATATCTGGGTTTCATGTTTAATGAATAATTATTATGGAGGTAAAGTTCCTGCTGATTCCGTCTGCCCTGCTTCAGCTTCTGTGAAAAACTAAACTCAAATGTGAACCGACGGTGATGACGGAACATTCTCTACAGTCGGATGAGGCTGTGTTGTTCCTGTGTTGCTCCTGTTCTAAACTATGCAGCGGGAGTTTGGCGGCGCGACAGTATTCAGCCTCCCACTTCTGGCAGCACAGGGGGATATGGGCTGGGTCCCTGGCACAATCCAAGGAAAAATGTGACATTGTTAGATTGTGGAATCGAATTATTATTATGCTGGAAAACAGAAGAAGAAGAAAGGTCCTGGAGTAAAGCCACGTCACCCTGGGCAGAGGAGCAGCCATCTGTTTTTGCTGAAGCACAACTCCAATACGTTTTTCATAACAATCTGCAATTTAGGAGCAAAAATAGGGGCCAATTTTGAAGAGCAGTGTTGAAACCTAAACTATGGGAATATATTCAGTTAAATGACAGTTTCAAAACAGAGCTTTACGACACAGCAAATCCTTCCAGGAATCAAAATATCTCTGATTGCACAGGTACGGACCGGAATTCTTCCAGCGGCTATAGGCTCTGGGAGGTTCTCAGAGACCCCTGAGGTTCTCACAGACCCCTGAGGTTCTCACAGGCCCCTGAGGTTCTCACAGGCCCCTGGGGTTCTCACTGACCCCTGAGGTTCTCACAGACCACTGAAATTCTCACAGACCCGTGAGGAGAAGAGTGCTTTGTGTGAACTGAATGAAGTGGAAAGTAAAGTGTGTTTCCCGTAACATTTTTCATTTTTCATTTTTATAAATAATTCAGAAACTCTTTGTGCCATGGAAGGTTCTCTTCCAATCCTGATCTCTTCTGGTGCCGCGAAAATATCAAGATAAAATGGTTCTTTCAAACCATGGTCTTAATTTTTGTCTAAAGCTTGGAAGACGCTGCAGACTCATCTATCTAAAGGTCACAATTTTTGTTTTGGAACGATTGATCCATTTATTTATCCAGGACTGAGGCTGTAGAACTAGGACTTAGGCTAAGGCATGGGAGGTGTAGGAGGAGGTGCAGGAGGAATTGTAGAAGTAGGTGCAGCGGATGGTTAGGAGGAGGTCTAGGAGGAGGTGAAATAGGAGGTGCAGGAGGAGGGGTGAGAGGAGGTGCATGAGGAGGAGGAGTAGGATGTGCAGGAGGCGTCGGGGGAGAGAGAGATGTCAATACTTTCTCTGATGGTTAAGGCCTGAACGCTTCAGTTTTGCCGGTTCCATTACGGTCATTCATGCTGGGATCAGAACCAGCCTGAGCCGCTGAAGGTGTCCTTGAGCAAAGCACTTCAGAGCCAGAGCATATGCAGTCTCAGGTAGAGAGGGTTTGAAGCCCAGAGAGCAGCCACCTACAGCACAGACCTCCTACACACGAGTGGCTTCTCTGAACGGACGTAAGAGTTAGGGCTGTTATAAACTATTGGTTTGGCAATAAACTGTGATATATCATATTGCATAGAAATAAAGCATCGATTAAAACTTATATATATATTACACATTTATTTTTGTCCAGAATATTCTATGACCGTACTCGTCCTGTACATAAACCCGCTTTCCCACCAGACCTAATCCACTCTCCTCTCCTTTTCTCTCCTTTCCTCTCCTCTCCTATCCTACTCTTCTCTACTCTACTCTACTTTACTCTACTCTTCTCTCCTACTCTTCTCTTCTCTACTCTACTCTACTCTACTCTACTCTACTCTACTCTCCTCCCCCCCTCTACTCTCTAGGGGAGGAGAGGAGAGAAGGCCAGGGTAGGATAGGGTAAGGTAGAGTAGAGGAGAGAAGAATACAGTAGAGTAGAGTAGAGTAGAGTAGAGGAGAATACAGTAGGGTCAAGGAGAGGAGAGTGGAGGCAGAGTAGAGGTAGAGGTGGAGTAGAGTAGAGTAGCGTAGACAAATGCCTCATGCCGCTGTCTCCACATGGCTCCAAATCTCGCTGCTGAATGTTGTTGACACAAAGTGCAGAGCGGGGAAGTGTTGGACGACAGCGGGGCCTTGGACTCAGAAAAAAATGACTCAAACTTGTCTGAATCAGTCTGAGACGACAGGAGGAAACGTGGAGATGGTTTAGCAGCACTTTTAACTGCTACTCTGACAATGTTCGAATCCACAAACATGTACCTATGCAGATTATCTACACCTTCAAAACAAAATGCCATCAAATTGACTGCTCTGTAAGGTCCGGTTTCAATGCATGATGTATTATTTATATTAATGTTTCTTTTCTTGTTGTGTGAAGCCTTTTGAGGGGTCTTGTGTGTGAGCTGAACTATACAAATAAACTTGCCTTGCCAGTTAAAAGACAAGTTTCCATAATCCGTCGCCTTCCTTTGAAACACGAATGATGTCACGTTTTGGAAAGAATAAAAAACATCTGCTGCTCGGAGCCTGCGAGGTCATCAGTGTTTCAGGAGCAGAGTTAGACAGATGTGAGAGATTCAGGACGTTGGTAAACCATTCATTCATTCATATTACTCATAAAAGCAAAGACACGTTTGTGAATCAGTCTTCAGTCCTGAGCCCTTCTTTACATCTTGTCCGTTCAGCTTAAATCTAACTTCACTATCTCTCTATTGTCTGATCTATAATAACAGAGAACAGACTCGAGGGTCATTTTCACGATAGACATTTTGTTCAGGAATTAAATAGTAATACCCTCCATTAGTTAAGATAAATACACAAACACATATATGCTGGAATTTTTATCTTGAATATTTTCAATCATTTTTAAACTGCTGTTTTTTATTTAACACAGAACGTCTGGCTAATCAAGTCTGATCTCAGGATGTACAAGAAGCACAAAAACCAGACAGGGGGCGAGGTTCTTCTGATTCATGTATTTCTCTTTAGAGGAGAATCTGCAGTCCTGGATCTACAGACTCAGTCCTGGATCTACAGCCTCAGTCCTGGATCTACAGCCTCAGTCCTGGATCGGATCTACAGCCTCAGTCCTGGATCTACAGCCTCAGTCCTGGATCTACAGCCTCAGTCCTGGATCTACAGCATCAGTCCTGGGTCTACAGAAAATGAGGGACAGTGATGTTCCAGGACATGTATAGACATTTCTGGCAGTGATCCCACTTCCTGCGGATTAATGGCTCTTATGTGTTTATTCTCTGAATAAACACATAAGAGCCATTAATACATTGAATAATAAATTATTGATCTGTTGTTGAGGTATTGCTGTTGTGATTTATGGCGATACACAAATAAATGTAGTTGAATGTAATTGATCCAACGACTTCTCTGTTATTCTTGAGGTTTGGTTTGACACAGATTAGAGTCACTGAGGACCGTGGACACGGCACATATGGCTCTAGGGCTCCTGCAGACAAATGACACATGGCATGAGCCTCAACCACCACGTGACCTCAGGTCAGCATCCTCTCCTCTGTGGGGTTCCCCAGCTCAGGTCAGGGCTGTCATTAAAGGTAAGGGCTGGCAGGGCTGTCACTGTCTCACATGCTACAGTACAGATATATACAAACAGATATACACACACAGAATTCTGACGATCACAGACCTGTTTAGAGCGCGCAAGAGCCGTGCGTAAAGAGTGCGTAAAAGCGCGCGTGCGGCACTTTGGATACAGACCTGTCGATGCTGATAACGCACAGGGTCATGATGGACGCAGTGCAGCACATCACGTCCATTGCGATAAAGACGTTACAGAAGAAGTGTCCGAACACCCACTGACCCCCGATCAGGTCCGTGATGGACACGAAGGGCATGACCGCGAGCGCCACGGACAGGTCCGCGAGCGCCAGAGACACGATCAGGTAGTTGGAGGGCTGGCGCAGCTTCTTGACGAAGCACACGGAGATGACCACCAGCAGGTTCCCGCAGATGGTGGACAAAGTGAGCATCATGAGCACTCCACCGATCAGCACCTTCTCCACGCGTCCGTAGCTCAGGATCTGCTCCCCGCAGCGCGTACCGTTACTCTCCATGACCAGCGGTGGACTGGACGTTACCAGAGCGGCCGCCGCTTCCGCCGCGTCCTGCGCGATCTTCAGCAGCCGCGGCGCGAGCAACTCTCCACCCGCCCGCTCCTCTATCATCAGAGACCTCATGTTTCCTCCAGACACTGACCCGTTACTCGCGCCCAGGACCATGGTGCCGTTATATCCATGGACGCAGTGCGCGCAGCACACACGCGGGAGGTGTGAGGTGACTCAGGACCGTGACCCCGGGACCTGCTACAGGCACGTGCTCATGACGCACGGGACGAGCCGCGGGCAGGCACTCGAAATACGCAACCTAAATAAAGAGTCCAGAGTCCAGTGTGGTCAGGAGAGTGAGCTGCACGTGCGCACACAGACTGGGGTGCACTGAGCGCGCGCATTTATACCCCAAAAGTTATGCGTAACGTCACATGTCCGCTTTGGAAGAAGCCAATAGGGCTCGCTGGCGGAGAGGCGCGTGCACCTTCAGCACCACGGACAGCTCCTGGTGTCAGGACGCGTTCACGCACCCGCGGGAGCGCAGACATCTCTGTGTGCACAGATATGTGACTGTTCCATCGCCAGCTGATCCTACATTTACCCACGGAGCACTATTAAGACCCCTGACCTCAATGTTTAATGTTGTCATGGACTCATAAACCTAACCCCATCCTAATATTAATCTTAATTCTAATCCTAATCCTAATCCTGACCTTAAACCTGACCCTCACTCCAACCCAATGACTTCTTGGTCATTGTGTTGATGTTGGATTCTCAGTATCTTGGAGAGGTCATAACCGTGATATTCTTTGTCCCCGTCCTATGGTCCAAATCTGTGCATGGAACAACAGCTCCACCCAGCGGACAAACATGGTCTGTGCAGCTAAACTAAAGAGCAGAATCACATTCCTTTATTACTGTAACCCCATGAGGGAGAGGACTACAGTTCTCTGTAAAACGTTAGAAAATTGTACAGACGTGTTTGTGGGAACCAGGTTACACTGGAAACTCAGGAGGAAATAACAAATCTTATCTGAGACATAGTTTATATAAACTGTCCTTTACCCTTGAGGAAGTGCAGTCGTGGTCAGGGTTCCACAGCAGAGCTCCTGCTGCACATGTATCAGCAGCAGGAGGCACAGACGCAATCATCAGGTAAATGGTCGAGGGTCAACAGCAGTGGACATGTTGTGAAAACCTTGTCTCACATTCTTACATTAAAATGTCACGTTACTGCCACGGATGAATGAAAGTAAGTAATGCTCATTGTACAGTCTGACTGCAGCAGAAGGAACGACCTGCAACCGGCATCCTTCACATATAAGGTGGTCCAGGGACGTGCGGTGAGGTTTGTGATTGGGGAGGCACTGACTTTAACAGTCAGATTTACCATCATTATTCTAATAAAATAGCAGTAAATCGTCAATGCAAAAACGTCCACAAACATTATATACTGTAAAGATAAGAACCAGCATATTATTAAAAATCCCACAACACATCTAGACGCTGGCTCTCCGCTCCGCATCAAACCAAGTCTTTGCGAAGCACAGGTGCGAAAGACGGGAGGAGGGAGAGAGAGAGAGATACGCAAGGAGCGACAGAGATATGCAAGGAGCGAGAGAGACGCAAAGAGCGTGAGAGAAAGAGATGCAAGGAGCGAGAGATGCAAGGGGAGAAAGAGAGGGACGCAAGGAGAGAGAGAGAGAGAGAGAGAGAGAGAGAGAGAGAGAGAGAAAGAGAGAAACACAAGGAACACAAACAAGAATTAAACAAGTTGCAGAACTTATGAGCAGTGTTAATTAAATCAGTGTTTTTCGGGGAAGCACTTTTACGCAGCTCTAGTACATTTTCAATATAAAACACAGACACTGACAGACTCCTCCCCCGCGGCCGGACTAACCTCACCTCGTTGGTCCAGTCTTGTCTATATTACTTCTTGCTTTGATTGAAAGTCCAGTTGAGAAACAAATCCTCAATCCAATCATCCATTTTCCAGCAAAAGAAAGAGACTTCAAATAATTATATATAGTACACACATACGTGCAATACATTACTAAACACTATGACAAGTTAAACAAATGTTTTCATAGCAGGATGTTGAAACAAAAAGGGATATATCAACAGCACGAGCTGAGTGCACTCACACACACACTATGTGGGAGTGAGCGATCTGGGGGGAGGCACGCAGGAGCGCTGCCTCACCTCGTCTCTTTGAATAGGAAAAATAGGGTTTCAGCGATTTTGACTACAGAAATGATCAAAACTGTTCGGAAACAGGCCGAAAATACTTTATAAGCATAGGACAGTGGAAAACAATTATATATTTTGACTATATCAATAATTATTTTTTCAATGATGGCAGGTGAGGCTCTGCCTCCCCTGACTGCACGTCACTGAGGTGGTCCAGCATGAATGTATTATATTGAGATTTAAAATGTTGAAATTATCTCATATTCCACCTCATTCAGGAAGTGATGAGTTAAACAGAAGTAAATAATCATGATATTGTTGCAGGTGAATATCTGATTGATGAATTTTCTCTTTGAATGTAATACTGTTCACTTCTATGGATGTGCGTGTATATAATATAATTCAACATGGAAAGAATTAGAATTAAAGTCGTAAGCGGCGTCAAACGGCCCTTGCCGCACCGCACGATCCCCGCACCACTCCGCGTTGCACCATGCCGCCTTGCACCATGCCGCCTTGCACCATGCCGCCTTGCACCAAGCCGCCTTGCACCAAGCCGCATCGCGCCACGCCACGCCGCCCCCCGCGCCATACCACGCTGCGCCGCGCCGCGCTGCGCCGCGCCCCTTATTGGATATGGCGCTACCGCGCCATTATTTGGTCCCGTAGCCATAAAAGAAAGTTTGTGAAATTGTAATGAATATGATGAGTTGAGTTGGTTTGGCTTCCAACACTCTAAAAAAAATGCATTGGCAAAACTTAATAAAATTGAGGCAACATTTTGCATGCATCTTTTTAAGTTTTGCGAACAAGACTGTGTTTTAAGTATTCTTTGTAAGTCATTTATCATTGGTCCAGCACAATTTTAACAATACCACCAACTTCAATATTTACATTGAAAATAAATCTATTTGAGTATATTCAACGAGTGATTTTTAGTCAGGAATACGTCATCTTTATTCAAATACCATCTTTCACAGATTAGATTCACAAAGTGGTTATAAAATTGTTAATTTTTTGCAGTAGTCTCTCACTCCACATATATATGGGAGTGGGCCAGTAGTCACCGGTAAACATGTCCATTTTTTTGGACAACAGTATTTGTTCAATATTGAAGGACGACACAGGGAGTATAGGAATGCTTTGGCTTGGCCCTCTCGATCATGGTTGATAAAAATAAATACAATTACTCATTTGGTCAAATTAGTTTATTCAGAATGTTGCTCAAGTATTTTGCTTTAGGACTTGCTTCAAATTCAGTTTTAAAATTAATGCTCAAATGTAGAATTTTTAAGAAGTTATTTCAAATATTTCACTTTTACATGACCTAGATCCTAGAGTTAAACAATGTATTAAAGTTTTGTGCAAATCAGACTTTGATTTTGCAAATGGAAGCTGTTTTTCGATCGTAAAAAATGGCATAAAAAAGGTCACATTTTGCTGCTCCGCTGCTCATACATTGTTTCACTGATCAAAAATCCCTGAAGTCATTTTGACGGTACATGTGTTGAGATGATGTGGAGCGATTTCGAGGCGAATCGGTGAAACGGCCGAGGAGGAGTCGCTTTCCAACCGATATGTATGAAAATGTTTGCTTTTAATTTTTCCATTTTGCAGTGAAATGTATGGGCTTCCTGTTTGTCAGAGGGCAGAGACATAATAAAATTTTTTCCATGTCTTGACTTGAGGAACATGTGTACCAAATTACATGGTTCTACGACAATTTTGACCTTGAACCCCTCCCATAGGAGTTTTTAAATTGGCTGTTGTAGGTTGCGCTATAGAGCCAATTTCAAATTTTTTACCTTCAAATGACCTAAATCTAAGAGTTGAACCATGGATTCAAGTTTTGTGCAAATCAGACTTTGTTTGCGCTAACGGTTTCATTTGTCCATTTTGAAGTGAAATTTATGGGCTTCCTGTTTGTCAGGGGGCGGGGCCATAATAACTTTTATTACATGTCTTGAGATGAGGAACATGTGTACCAAATGTCATGCCTATACAGCAAACTTGACCTCGAAACGCTCCCATACTAAAAAACTTTGACCCCATCTGTAGGGGGCGCTAATGAGCCAAGTTCATTTATTTCACTTTCAAATGACCTAAACCCTAGAGTTGAACAATGTATTAACATTTTGTGCAAATCAGACTTTGTTTGTGCAAACGGGAGCAAATTTAATATTGTAAAAAACTGCCAAAAAAAGGTCAAATTTTGCCACTCCGCTGCTCGAACAACGTTTCACTGATCAAAAATCCCTGAGGTGAAGGTAAATGTGTTGAGATGATGTGGAGCAATTTTGAGGTGAATCGGTGAAACGGCCGAGGAGGAGTCGCTTTCCAACCGACATGTATGAAAACTTTTGCTATTCATTTTTCCATTTTGCAGTGAAATGTATGGGCTTCCTGTTTGTCAGAGGGCGGAGCCATAATAATATTTTTTTCTTGTCTTGACTTGAAGGACATGTGTACCAAATTTCATGGCTCTACGACAAACTTGACCTCCGAAAAGTCCAAGAGGGGTATTATTTTGGCTGTTGTAGGTGGTGCTGTTCTGGCATTTTTTGAGTCCCAAAAAAATAAACACCAAAATATAAAATTTTTTGCCAGGTCTGATTTTTTGGCCAAAATTTAACAACTTTTCATGCATGTTCAGGGGGTCAAATTAAGGCTCAAAGTGCAGAAGAAAAAATAAATAAATTAAAGCCGCAAGCGGCGTCGAACGGCCCTCGCCGCCCGCGCGCACCACTCCTCATCAAGCCGGTCCGCACCAAGCCGGTCCGGAGCCGGTCCGCACCAAGCCGGTCCGCCCCAAGCCGTCCCGCACCACGCCGCCCCGCACCAAGCCGCCCCGCACCAAGCCGCCCCGCACCAAGCCGGTCCGCACCAAGCCGGTCCGCACCAAGCCGCCCCGCACCAAGCCGCCCCGCACCAAGCCGCCCCGCACCAAGCCGCCCCGCACCAAGCCGGTCTGCACCAAGCCGCCCCGCACCAAGCCGGTCCGCACCAAGCCGGTCCGCACCAAGCCGGTCCGCACCAAGCCGGTCCGCACCAAGCCGGTCCGCACCAAGCCGCCCCGCACCACGCCGCCCCGCACCACGCCGCCCCGCACCACGCCGCCCCGCACCAAGCCGCCCCGCACCAAGCCGCCCCGCACCAAGCCGCCCCGCACCAAGCCGCCCCGCACCAAGCCGTCCCGCACCACGCCGCCCCGCACCACGCCGCCCCGCACCACGCCGCCCCGCACCACGCCGCCCCGCACCACGCCGCCCCCGCCCCACCACGCCGCCCCGCACCACGCCGCCCCGCACCAAGCCGTCCCGCACCACGCCGCCCCGCATCACGCCGCCCCGCACCAAGCCGCAACGCGTCGCTCCACAACGCATATGATGATAAGAGCTGTTTGGCACCCCATGTAAAACTTTGCCTCAATCTGTAGGGGGCGCTAATCGGCCAATTCACTTTTCAGAGGGCGGAGCCATGATAACATTTTGGTCGTATCTTGACTTGAGGAACATGTGTACCGAATTTCATGAATCTACGACAAACTTGACCTCTGAAACTCCCATTGGCTGTTGTAGGTGGCGCTGTTCTGGCATTTTTTGAGTCCCATAAAAATAAAAACCAAAATATCAAATTTCTCACCAGGTCTGATGTTTGGGCAAAATTTTACAACTTTTCCTGCATGTTCAGGGGGTGAAATTAAGGCTCAAAGTGCAGAATTTGACATCTCTCGAGCAAAAACAATAGGCCCTTTCCCCGTTCGGGGCTCGGGCCTAATAAAAAATAAACAAGGAATTTTTTTTTGACGTCTCGAGCAAAAAACAATATAGGTTTCAATGGAACCTGATACATAATTTTAAAGCGTTTGAGTTTATGCTCGCAACCGTCACATTGCGGTGAGTGACGGGCGCTGACGCGTCCGTCACGCACCGCCACCACTTGCATTCACCATTGTGAAAGCAATAGGCCTTTACCCCGTTCGGGGCTCGGGCATAATGATGTTTGTGTCATGTTTGCATGAACATACTGTATCTGCAGACAATTAGACTCAGAAACCAGAGGAAGGACTGAAGAATTTACGGCATATTAGACCCCGGCAGAAATACTGACTCCCTGGAGTCCCTCAGGTTCTGAACCCTGGTGCTGGAGTCCCTCGGGTTCTGAACTGTCTTGGTGAAGGTTGATGAGCCATAACATGTAGATTCTCCAATGAATGGAGGAGGAGGGCTGCACGAACACGAGCTTGATGCTCTGTTTAAATGCAGCTGAGGCTGATGTGATGAGCTCCGTGTGCAGCAGAAGGAGGACTCCACGTCTAAATGCTGCAGTATTATTATTCTATAATACATTACTTATTAAAACTACATAAGTAGAATAATAAATAATAATAATAATACATCAGTTTTATATTGCGCTCATTGGACACTCAAAGACGCTTCACATGCCATTATTCTTTCACTCCATAAACGGTGGCAAATTAATTAACAAAATAAATAAATTAACACTGTAGCTACAGATGCCCTGGGGCACACTGACATAAGCATGGCAAACAGTACATGTGCCATTGGCCCCTCTGGCGGCACGGTGGCTGAGTGGTTAGCACTCTAGCCTCTCAGCAAGAAGGTCCTGGGTTCAAATCCCGGCCGGACCAGGGCCTTTCTGAGTGGAGTTTGCATGTTCTCCCCGTGTCTGCGTAGGTTTCCTCCGGGTGCTCCGGTTTCCCCTACCACTAAAAATATGTACAATAGTTCTGGCATGTGCCTCCTGTACTGGCCCCGCTCCCATCTCTGTGTGGAGTGAGAGACAAATGCCCAAAATTAACAATTGTAAACCGCTTTGAGACTCAGATCTGCAGTGAAAAGGCGGTATATAAATAAAAACTTACTTACTAACTTACTTACTCTGACCACCGCCAACCATTCATGCATTCTCTGGACTTATTAGAACTTTTAAATTGTATTACTTTGAACAGCTTCAGGGTCTAACAGGGCCTGGCTTTAACATGCAGGTATGGCGACAGTTTGTGTAATAATGTTTATCCATCTTCAGTCTGCTCCTTTTCATTCATCTTCATTTATTCACTTTTTAACTGTACATCCCTGAGTATGTTTTATTTATCTATTGAATAAATGCAGTTCTAATAATGTACAGTAGATAACTCAAAATAGATACTTAGTTTATGACAATACCTTTACTATGAAAGAGTCAATGGGTTAGATTAGAATAGACTCATTACAAATAATTAAAATGAATAATTATTATTATTAAAATGATGACCAGAATCTTCCCCTTCCAACATGGAGCCGGACTACGTGGTGTTACCATGGTGACGCTCTCTCTAGCACCATAAAAGGCTAATGGAGGAAATCCTGCTGCTGATCCGCTCCCCCGCCCCTCCCCTCCCTGTGTAAATACTACGTTGCCAGGTTGGCGCAAAATCCTCTTTTTCTTCTCCCGTTGTTTTCCACAACTCCCTCGCGAGCGCCACACGAATCATATCTGGCACCCCTGGGAAGCGCAGGTGTGGCGTGGATTTCTCACTGAATCAAGGGATGTAAATGAAAATACGAGTTGATTTCTGATTCCTTCCGCGATCGTCCAGTTTTGACGCGTTGGGGCTGGTGTGGGTGGCTCGCTGTGCGGTGGCGGTGGTAGAGCTGTTTTGCAAGCGGCTCTGTCTGAGTACCTCTCGGCCTGGGAATGAATCATCGCATTCGGATCTCACCCCGTAGAGATGCTGTGATCTCCCTGACTGCCCTGACAGCCCACGATCCCGCGTCCAGGGGCCAGATGTGCCTGTGTTCACTCGGGACAGCCCCAGCATCTGAGGCAGTGAGCTGTAGGTAGAGGAAGTATTGCCCTGACTGTAAAATCAGTCTTTGGACATGATCATAAAGCACAAAAAATGCAATTAAAAGACAATTTACTGAATGATGATTGTATGTAGAGAATGTGAGTATCTCAGAATGTAGAGTTTTTTTCCATACAGCTGTTGGTTTATTGTTTATTAAAGCTGTGTGTGGGGACTGATGCCGTGACAGTGACAGATGTTTAAATGCTTCTATCCTATGTGTCACTAGTCCCTTTGTCACATTATTCGATCATGTTTATTTCTATAGAGCCGTTGTTTAACACAGAAAAGACAGTATTATAGGCGGATGACCCATGCAGTAGCCAATCAGCTCTTAGCCCAATGATGCACGTGGCTCTTCCTTAGTTACGTGTCCGCAATAGTTGTTGTAGAGACTTTAGACTCTCAGAATATCTCAGATGTTTATGCATAATTGAGGCACCCTGGCTTTAACAGCACCAGCCGCACCTGCCACACCTGTTAGAGGAGGCCTGGCCTAAGCCTGAGGTCCGGACGGTGTGTTTTTGGGGGTGAAGCCATGGAGGAGATCCTGCGGAGGCTGCAGAAGGAGGCGTCCGGACACAAGCACAAGGCGCTCCGGGACGCGTGTGTGTGCGCCTGTGGTGAGTGTGTACATGTACGTGTGTGTGTGTGTCATATATGCTGTCATACTATATATATATATATATATATATTGCAATACATCCTCTCACGAGTCCTGTAATAGTTCAAAATAAAGAATGGCAGCTCTGAAAGAAATACAATTCTACTCAATAAATTAACTGGAGAAACAGAACATCTCTAGAACTGATTTGTTACTTTGTTATTACTCCAAAGTATTCCAAATAAAATATAGTTTAAAGTATCAGGATATATCACATGGTATTGTGATCTGTGTTCAGTCCTGGTTGAGTCCCGCATTTTAGTCCAAGTTTAGTTGCAGTTCAGTCCCAGTTTAGACCCGGGTTCACACCCAGTTCAGTCTTGCTTTAGTCCTGGTTCAGACCTGGTTCAAACCTGGTAGACCTTGTATAGACCTGGTATAGTCCTGATTGAGTCTTGGCTTAGTCCTGGTTCAGTCTCGGTTTAATAAATGGAATGTTTAAATGTCTAATGTTTAATGTTTAATAAGTCCAAAATGTAAAGAAGCTTGTACTGATTAATTAACTGACTAGCTGAGTAGAGAAGAGTAGAGAATGCGGTTGTTGTGATTGTGTTTTTTTATTGTTTGCAGAAACGCTGGAGCTACAGAATGGAACTGGGAAAGTCCCGCCTTCCAAACTGCGGTGAGTGACACTTACATTAGTGCACACTGTTCCTCACAGCGAGAAGGTCCACCTCCAGACAGGGCTTTTCTGTGTTGAGTTTGCATCTTCTCCCTGTGTCTGTGTAGGTGAGCCCTAACACTGAAAACAACCTCCAGCATCACTGTGGCGACCACTGCTCCTGACAGAGGTCAATCTGAGAGGCCCTCTGTGTCCTGTCATTGTCCCTCTGCCGCTAATACAAAGATGCCCCTTGAGATCAAAAAACCATTGTGGTTTTGTGATCTTGTTGTAAGGCTCCAAACCTCTAGAATCCAGTCGTTGAATTTACAAATTTATAAACAGACCTTTGTTTGTTTTTTTGTCACAAAAGTCCATAATGAAGCTGAAGTAAGTGAGTTAACGCTGTGCAATGTTTGTCAATAGAGACACACACCGTTCAAAATCTATAATTTTACTGGAAGCATGCATTTGTGAGATCTACATCAGCTGCAGACCGTCATGAGCCTCAGTCCGTTAACACTGGTCCAAACTTAGGCCAAGAAGCAGGAGCTGGACTTTGTGACCACTGGAAATGCTGACTTATCTGACTACAGAATTCTACTGATGGTGACTTGTTTCTATTGGTTAATCAGTAAAACTGTGGTTGTTATTGGAAGAGGAGACTGTTCTTTTCAGGGAGACACAAACTGACATTAAATCAATTCTGAACAATGATGATGTTGGGACCAAATAGATGGAGAGGCTGTCAAAGCGTTGTCGGCCCACGCATGGTATTCCTTGCGTCATTGATTCCCTGCCTTGCTACTCTGTTCCTCTTAAAGGCCAGACACTTAGTGAAGAAGATGACATAGTCTGGGATCGCGTCTTAAATTCAGACAGAAGACATGTTTTATTGTCGATGGTAGAGACGGCACGAACAAAGCACATGATCACAGAAACAATAGAATGCAAGTGTATTATACAGAGCGGAGGCATGGAGACCTCCAATCAGCAGCTGCCACGGTGTGCTTGTAGCTTGGCCTTCAGATAGACACAACAAGGGAAAAGTACTGGCTTCTGCACATTGATAGAATGATGAGTTTAACTTCAACAAAAGTTGCTTCAAAGTGTTATGAAATCTCACATTAGTTTGGGATGGGTTTGGGTCAGGACGTGCCTGGTCTTACCATACCATTAATTTCGTACTCAGCTCTGGATTTCCTCAATTGAGCTCCGGTGGGAGGGGTTAACTCCTTTTGCAGATTGAAACGATTGGATCTGAATTTACCGTGACGTATGTAATGCGCCTGAGTGAGTTAGGCATTTAGCATTTAGCCTAGCTTTAGCCATCTCTTTAGCTACGGACAGAGCACGTGGGGAGTAGAGCCACAACATCTTCACCAGCAATGAAATATGCTAAACATTCCTCTTGCACTGGCTTCAATTTCTTTGATAATTGGGAGACAACATAAATGCCTTGTTTAACATGAGAGATGGGTATTGGTTTTGTTATGTGTTTACATTAGGACAGTGTTCCAGGTGAAAACATAAGCATTAAGAACCAGCCTACAGAGTGGGATCGCTCAGATACGCTGCTCAGCGAGGGCTGTTTCACACCTGCATGAAGAAAAAATTCTCTGCTGCTCCCACCCCCACTTCTCCGCACGTACATTTGGACATGCACAGTAGCTAAGAACAAACGTAAACAATAATGGCGACGGGTGCACTAACTAGCTCCGTGTGCTTCGAGCGCTACACGGAGGAGATTTCTACTCCTTCATTCAAACAAAACCACGCAAAGCTGTTTCCATTTTTGCAGCTGCTGTTAAATGCAGAATGATGTTGGTTCTTTCAGGTCTTTGCGGCGGCCTGAGGAGGATTCTGTTGATGAAGTGAATATACTGCTGGGAGGGCTGGGGTCACGTGGGTCATGATGTAAAGTTCCTCTGCCCACTACCGGCCGGGCGCTAGAACTACATCGTTTTTCATCCTCTTACGAGCGCTGTGTAATTTTCAAGAGGAGTCTGGTTGTTTCTGTTAATTGCTTTGAAACGTCTGCGCAGCGCCTCCATCCAAACAGATTACTTTATTATCACATTCGCTGCCATTGCCAAGCTACAACCAGCAAATTTTAGTGAGCTCTTCCCAAAAAAGCAGGACGGCGCCATCATGTGGACTCCTGACTCAACATGTCAATTCTCCTGTAATGTGCCATGTGTCCTGCAGGGAGCGCTGTCTGCTGCCGCTACAGATGGCTCTGGAGTCTAAGAGCTCCAAACTGGGCCAGACCGCACTGACCGGGATGCAGGTGTGTGTGTGTGTGTGTGTGTGCGCGTAGTAAGATGGTGTTGTGTGACGGTCTGTGTGTGTGTGTGTGTGTGTGTGTGTGGTCAGATGGTGATGTGTGACGGCCTGTGTGTGTGTGTGGGGTCAGATGGTGTTGTGTGATGTCTCTTTCTGTCTGTGTGTGGTCAGATGGTGTTGTGTAATAGTGTGTGTGTGTGTGTGTGTGTGTAGTCAGATGGTGTTGTGTGACGGTCTCTCTGTGTGTGTCATCAGAAGGTGTTGTGTGACGAGCGGCTGGTAGCAGGTCTGGGTCTGGAGGTGGACATGTTGGAGAAGCAGCTGCTGGCTCAGATGCTGGACGCTCTGAGGGTCACTCCTGGTCTGCACGAGGACCTGCAGGTGGAGGTCATGAAGGTACTGGACACACCATGAGGCCCCAAGGCTACGGCCACTACTCTACACCAGGGGACCCCCAAGGCCGTGTGCTGAGGGCCCACATCCAAGTAGTTCTTAAAGATGCGCAATTATTTTACTTATAACAAGACATTTTTATTGGATTTCCCTTAGAAAATCTTGTTTTAAACGAGCAGTTTGTAAAAATCTGGCCAAAAGTGGTTCTGCACTCTCCCTGACTCAGGTTGCCAGGTATGCAGACAAATCCAGCAGGGACCATGATACGGGACATCAAAATGAAAACAATAGCAAGATTTTGGGGGTGTAAAACTAATTTTGAAATTAAAATATCTCTGAACTTCTGTTATCACTTAAAGACATTTTTGAAAGGAGCATTGTTCACAGCCTTTTGACAGATTAGGGCCCTTTAATGATGACTTGACATGAAAATCTTACATACTGTATTGCTGCTTTAATGCCGTCATTGTGCATGTTACAGCAGAATAATTGGAAAAAATAAGAGCACTCAGGTTGCACACATCAAACAGGAACAAGATAATCGATAATAAAATAAAACTTTGGAACTATACTGCACTTGGCTCAAGGATAAGTCACTTGTGGAATCAGCAGGAGATATTTACAAATGTTTAGATAGATAGATACTTTATTGATTCCTGTTGGAGAAATTCCGGTGTCCAGTAGCAGCAAAAAAAAAAAAAAAATTATCATTCTACAAGGATAACAATAGCAATAATCAGCAACAGCCCTTCAGGTCGCAGCAGCACAGATGGAGTAGCCTCTGGGCGGAGCAGGACGGGTCACTGCAGCAGAGTTGGAGTAGCCTCTGGGTGGAGCAGCAGAGCAGAGAATATCACCAGAATAAACAAAAGTAATAATAGCAGCAGGTAAAGCGTGACTTGTCTAGGTGGGGATTCGCTCCTGTAGACTCACCACCTGCAGCAGGACCAGAGAGGAGCTGGTGTTCTGAGAATTAGGGGGCAGCTCTAATTGCCCCGTTCACTCATAATTAGAGTAAATGAGTTGCCAAAGGGCCTCTGTATCACAGAAAGTTCATGTGTTTGTCCTCCTGCGACTCCTAAAACAATTTTTTTCACATTTGTACAGATTTCTTTCAGGGTTTCACCTGGATCTGTGTTGGTTGTGTTTAGGTTCTCCTGTGCATCACCTACTCTCCCAACTTTGACCTGAACGGAGACTCCATTCTGCGCATCGCTCAGGTGAGGTGTGAGAGGGGTCCACCCAAGCCCCAGCGATTCAAGATGGCGCCCTATTCAAATTAATGGTTGTGCTCAGTGGCGCTTTGGGACGGCATGGGGGCTGAAAAGGTTTGCGGAAGTTGCCTGAAACTCGCAAAGATCTATGGGAAACTCGCAAAGAACTTTGGGAAACTCGCAAAGATCTATGGGAAACTCGCCTGTATTTGGGCATTGTCTGGTCCTCCCGGTTCTGCGCAGTGGATGATCTCCCATAATGCGTTGCGTCAAACACGCGTGTGTGGGTCTCACACCAGGTCTCACGCACGTGCACAGAGGGGCTCGGCCGCGCTCTGACCAATCAAAGCAGTTCATCAGAGCGGGAGTTAGAGCGAGAGCCAGACGAGCAGAGTTTGTGGCAGTAAAGTGTGGATTTAAACAAAACCGAAGGATTTAAGAAGAAAAAAAGTTCAGGATAACAAGGGACACTAAAATCCCCACAAAATCCGATCTTTATGAAAGCTGTAGGTTCTCTGTCAGCTGAGGTCAAGCTGTTTTAACATGCATTGAGTTCTATGGGGAAAATTTCTGGGTAGCCCGCGTAAATTTAGTCTGGTTCAGTCTGCAGTACCGCGAGAATCCCCTGAGCACATGAGTTATTCAGCTATAAGCTAGTAATACCCTATCCAGTTATTATAATAGATCCATGGGTCCACCTGGTGCTGTGGTGGTACCATTTGTGTCTCTGCGGAGCCCAGTGCCGGATACTGATACTACAGCTAATGATTATTTTGATAATTGTTGGCACATTTTTATACATTTGACCAAATAAGAGCTTTAGTGCTGCCCCTGGAGAACTCCTTCATATGAGATGACTTGGGTTCTCTCCCCACCCTTTCTGTCCAGGTCTCTGTTTTCCAAATTCTTGTGACGACTCCTCAGACCAACACATCAGGGATAGAGATATTTTCTGCTGTTTAAGACTAAAGTACTGCCATTAATTTAATTTCGGAAATGTTTCCAGCCAAACAAAGTTCTTTACATTTGCTACCTTCAGTCTGACTGCAGGTGAGCTGTGAGTTACAGCTATTGCAATTAAAACTAATATACTGACGAGATACTGTGTTTGACATGTGGTGTGACCTGCTGGACTTCAGACAAATTGGTCAGACAGAACAGTGAAGGAACATGGAAAGTGGACACTCAGTGCGTTGACATTCCTCACCATTGAGCCTTCGTGTCCTCTACTGTGTCTTTAGTCATCATCCATGGAAACGTCCCTCATAAACTGTGTGATGCCCCAGAGCCCCATTCTACATATGGTTGCTGTGCTAACTGCAGGGGCCATAATCCCACAGCGGCCGCAGAACAGCTTGTGTTTGGAGACGGCCATGACTTGGAGGATAGAAGAGTCAGGGCACAGATTCTCCATATGATGATCCAATCCCTTCACCTCCTTCAGATTATTTGTGTTTGTGTTGATATCAATTCCATCCATCTATTTTCTTCCACTTTATTTTTTCCGGAGGCAACAGTTGATAAAGCAGAGACGCCCAGACTTCCCTCTCCACACACACTTCCTCCAGCTCATCTGGGGAAATCTGTTCCCAGGCCAGCTGAGAGACACGGTCCATACAGCTTGTCCTAGGTCTCCACCAGGTGGGACAAGCCTGGAACACCTCCCTAGGGAGGCGTCCAGGGGGCAGATGCCCGAGCTACCTCAACTGGCTCCTCTCCACAAGGAGAAGCAGCAGTTCTACTCTGAGCTCCTCCCGTATGACTGAGCTCCTCACCCTATCTCTAAGAGAACGTCCAGCCACTCTGTGGAGGAAGAAGGTAATTTTGACGCTTGTATCCGCGATCTTGATCTTTTGGTCATTACCCAAAGCTCATGCTCCTACTTTACCACAATGGTCCGATACATACTTATATCAATGCGCTGCCGAACAGAACGTTTCAAGAGATCCTTTGTTGCTTCGGCTGTCAGACTGTACAACAGACTTAGATGAGTCTTCTGCTGCTGGACACCTGAATTCTATCTTTCTACAGCGACTGCATCACTGCGCACGCTGCACCAATCTGCCTTCAATCTCACACACCATCCTTCCCTCACTCGCGAACACAACCCTGAGTGACTCAAACTCCTCCACTTGAGGAAGGACCACTCCACTTGGAGAAGGCAAAGCACCTTTTTCCAGTCAAGCGCCATGGCCTCAGATTTGGAGCTGATTCTCATCCCAGCCGCTTCACACTCGGCTGCAAAGCGCCCCACTGCATGGTGCATACCAATTAATTTGAATTAATAAATCCATCTCCACACGGCCTTTGTCTCTTCCTCTGCTGTGGCACTGATCTCTCGCTTCTACAAACTGTTTACTCACAGTTTGAGGGTTCTACGTCTTCTAAGTCCTATCCACATGTTGTGGATAAGACTTATTCATAATAGAAAAAACACGCTCATGCGGCCTTTGAATGTGTGTGATGGTCTGTGTGTGTGTTTGTGTGTGTGTCTGTGTGTGTGTGTATAGGTGTGTCTGGAGACGTACGAGGCCAGCGGCCACCAGAGGAGCATCAACACTGCGGTCAGAGCCACTCTGAGCCAGATCCTGGGAGACATGGTGCTGCAGCTTAGGAGCAGACAAGAGGTACATCTACACACACTGACTCCTGACCTCTGACCCCTGCTCCTCATTGACCTCTGACCTCTCCTCCTCACTGACCTCTGACCCCTTCTCCTCCTCACTGACCTCTGACCCCTGCTCCTCACTGACCTCTGACCTCTGCTCCTCTTGACTTCTCCTCCTCACTGACCTCTGTCTTCTCCTCCTCACTGACCTCTGACCCCTGCTCCTCACTGACCTCTGCTCCTCTTGACTTCTCCTCCTCACTGACCTCTGTCTTCTCCTCCTCACTGACCTCTGACCCCTGCTCCTCACATGGTGGACTGGTTATAGTGAGAACTTCAGAAGCTCAGCGATCTAGAACGTTGTAGGTTAAGAACCTATAGATCCATGAATAGAACAGAGCAGACAATAATCTCTGGTGGGTTTATTACCCGTCAGGCTCTTTCCACTGAACATACAGTAAAGCTCTCACTACAGTCTGACCATCGTCACTGGCTCCACAGCGCCACCAGGTGTCCCAGGTGCAACAGTCCCACAGTGACCACCAAAGCTGAGGGTGGAGTAGGATCCAGAGCATGAGCAGTAACGTATCCACAGGATCAATAATGTAATCACAGTCTGTCCTGGAGAGAAGTGCAGCGTGTGATCCATGAGCTCATCTCCCAAATCTCCTCACATGAGCCCATTACTCTCCCCTCAGTTCTCATTTCATATTTACATGACATGACACACAAACATGTAAAACCTCTAGGACCTTTCTGTGTGGAGTTTGCATGTTCTCCCTGTGTCTGCGTAGGTTTCCTCCGCATACTCCGGTTTTCCCTACCTCTTAAAATATGTACAATAAGTGAAGGTTGAATGAGTGTGTGTTTCTGACTGTGACCAGAGGCATCCCTTGCCATTAGGCAAGGCAGGCAGCTGCCTGGGGCCCCCAAACCGGCAGGGGGCCCCAGAGGGCCGACTGATTTGACACACGAGCGGTCGACTTGTACAGGCTACAACTGCTAACCAGTGACGAGTTGCCGGATAAAAACTTCTCGTCTAATGCTGAACTTGCCACGTTCTTCATTAACGTTTAAAAACACTTCCTGGAGTCTGAGAAGTGTAGCATGTCCGAGTGGTCTAGTGGTTAAGTTGCAGCGCTTGGGCCTCAACGACCTGGGTTCGAATTCGAGACCTATGTTTTGGATTTTATACTATATATATTACATTCTATGACAGATTGCGCAAGAACGGTAAAAGGTAAAAACAAGCCGTTTTTTGCAGATTAAAGCTAGGAGCCTGATCTTTCATTTGGCCCTCTGTGTTTATATAGAGTCTATATGATAGACTATATAAACAGACAAGGTGTTTATATAGAGTCTATATAATAGACTATATAAACACAGAGGGTCAAATGAAAGAATAGATATTGTAGGATTACAAAATCTGGTTTTGTGGTCGGTTTCGGGGCCCCCAAGGACTCTGTTGCCTGGGGCCCCGGGGTACCCTGACTGTGACTGTGACTTTGGGACTATAGATGAAAATTATCTATAGAGCTACAATCTGGTGTAATTACAGCTCCTGCTGTTCGTTAATACGCACTTTGCCATTCAAAATATAAGCATAAAATTGAAGCCGCAATGGGCGTGAAACGGCCCTCGCCGCACCGCGCTAAGGAGGGGGCACCACCTCGTCATGATTTGCTCCCGTAGCCGAATAACAATGTTCGGGAAATTGTAATGAATATGATCAGTCGTATTGACTCCCCATGTAAAACTTTGGCTCATTCTGTAGGGGGCGCTAAAGAGCCAATGTAATGATTCACACCTTCAGGTGACCTAGGCCCAGGAGTTGAACAACCGAGTCAAGTGTAGTACAAATCAGACTTTGTATGTGTGAACAGGAGCACAAGTATAATCTGTGAGTGTGTCTATATATATACAATCTCCGGGTCTGATTTTTGGTTTCACCATTGTGAAAGCAATAGGCCCTTACCGCGTTCGGGGCTCGGGCCTAATGAACAGTAGAAAAGGCTGTAGCTTTTCTAGTTAAGTCAATATCTTTTAAGCTTTTTAATTTCCCTCAAATCTTACAGAAGTGACTCTAAAGTCCATGTACCTGTGTGTCCTCAGGGCGCAGATGGAGAAGAGGTGACGCCGCCGCTGCACCGGAAAGGTACTTCCTCTCATCCAGACTTTTAGGGCTAGGGTTACACAAACATGGGACACAAACACAATCTGAAGCACACCGTCCTTTTCCATTGAGTTTGGTTTAAAGCCTTTCATCAATATTAAGTGAACAAAATATGGACTAGAAAGTCTTGTCTCAACCAGCCCAATTCTACTTTCCCTGGGTCTCCTCCTTGTGTGTGATCTCACTGTATGTGTGTGTGTGTGTGTGTGTGTGTGTGTGTGTGTATATGTGTGTGTGTGTGTGTGTATGTGTGTGTGTGTGTGTATGTGCGTGCGTGCGCGTGTGTGTGTGTTGCAGACGTGTCTCCCACCAGCCTTGCCCTGTGTGAGGACGTGGTCACCGTTCTGACCGTGTTCTGTGAGAAGCTGGAGTCCGTCCACAGGTACGCCCCAATTTTATTCACTTTACATAAAAACTTCATCACAAAGTAATATTTGAAGTTTGTATGTGTTTTGTTAAAGAACACTCCCAGAAGCTGCATTGGCTTACAGGCGTTAGCTTACAGGCGTCACCCTCCACTGAACTCATGTTTGTTCATTATTATTGACTGTATTCATATGTTGTTTAATTTAAGAGTCTGTATCGTGGTAATTTATTTACTACCCTACTTGGCCCTATACTCTACTCTTCTCTACTCTACCTGGTTCAGTTTCCATTCCACTTTAATATCTGGACACCATATCCTAGAAACCTGCACATAACAAACCAGTATTTAGCAGAGCAGAGCAGAGCAGAGCTAGTTTTATGCTTTTCCATTAAAATAGATAAACCCAAAACAATGTTGTCCATTTCATATTTGTCAGTATTTACATTTGTCAATAATTCTTTTTCGTGAATGATAGAGATTTTATTCATGCTTCTTTATTTGGCTAAAGCTAGAGATTTGTTTTAAATGTTATTGTTCTCTTTTCTTGTGCTGTGTGCTCCTGGTTCCCACTGTTCTGTAACTGCTGCTACTCTCTCTGTTGGCAGTGAAAACCCTCTGCTGCTGCTGCTGTACCTGGAGTGTATCCTGTCCATGCTCAGCAGCTGCCCTCCCACAATGCACCTGTCCAGAGGCTTCACTGACCTCGTATGGTGAGGTCACTCCACACTTTACACAAACAGCAGTGTCATAATGACAAGGATTTCACTGTGAAAACGGAAAAAAACGTCTAAGGACGATGTTTATGTTAGAGAATGATGACGGCCTGGCTATATCAAGTTTAACACTTGGACGACCGGAGCTGTCATTTTGACTGCTCTTATTCAAATTGATGGAATTTTTGGAGAAATTGGCAAGATTTGTTAATTTTCCACCTGATTTTTAAGTCAGTAATTTATATCACTTATAAAACACATGTTGTGTGTTGCTCTGTAACTCTTGACTGGTAGAACCAAGCTCAGCTCAGAACCAGGACCAGTCCAAGACCCGTCCAGTATTTTACATTTTTCATTTAAAAGGCTTTAACTACCTCAGAATGGTGGATGCCAATCGACGGAAAATTCCAAAATGACTGCTCTGAGAGTTAAAGGTAAAACTCCTCACATTCCAAGAATAAAAGATTATTTCATAAAAACATATAGAAACCAAAAAGGCCTCAAAGTTGTGAAACCAAAAAGTACATGAGCAGTAGTTACACTTCCCAAACTAAAAGCCGTCACATTGACTGCTCTGGGAGTTCTAGTGTGAACAGCATCATGTATTTGTGGTTGAACACAGGAAGCAGCTGTGCCCCTCCCTCGTGGCCATCATGGGAAATCCTGTCAATGACAAAACCATCACGTCTCACCACAGCCACATGGGGGCGCTGGAGCGGGACAGGGCCACTTTAGGTATCACTCCCTTTTCTCTTGTTTTCTCATGACCAGTTACTAGTTCAAGTCAGAACTGTGGCCTCTGCTCACTTCATGGAGACCGAAATATTGCCAGAAGTGGCTCATTTCAGCCTCCGGTCACAGTCTGTTGTAAGTGTTTAGAAGGAGACAACGACGACTAACCTGCACACGCACAGATTAGCGCAGGCGAGATCGACCCGGGTTAGTGTCAGAAACGTGTGGATTTATTGAACAGTCTAAATCTAAAATTTACTGAACCCGACAGAAAAAGCGAGATTTTTGTTAACATTCAGTTCTAAGGGGACGTTTCCTGGGTCGCTCTGGTGAATGTTGTGACCCACCACCATGCTGGAATCCGGCTTTTTGCCTATACCCTTATTGTTGAGTCTCGTAAAGTAAAATACAGATAAGCCTGTGGTTAGTTTATTGTTTATTTGGTTTTTCACTCAGCTCCCAGTGCGTCTTCCCTCCGCAGCACGTTTCCACAGAAACGTCTGCGCTGAGGTGTACTACAGCAGGTACACTGGTGCCCACCGGGAATGTTGACCTGTGTACCATGACATTTCACAATTATGGAGGTGCATCAGCCCCTCGGGCAGGACTTAGGACTGAACTATAACTCTGTGTTGTTGACACTGAGTAATCGGGAGTGTCTCTACTGTCGCAGGCTGCAGCCGCAGCAAACTTCCCCTGGATAAACTTTCCAAACATCCTCTATTTCAGAATGTATATGGCTTGGTTTACACTTCTATTTTCTGTCATCCATGTATCAACATCTATGAAAATGTGAAATTCTATATTAAATCATGAAAGGTCTCCAAAAAATGTTTTATTCTAATCATTAATCATCAAGTGTTTTTATAAAGTGTTCTTATATTAATCATCAAGTATTTGCATAAAAGGCTTTTTTGGCTCAGCTCAAAGGGTTAAATAGGGAAATATAGGAGCTCAAAGAGTTTTTGATTGTATTTGATTGTAAAGAAAATTAGATATTGTTTATTTGAATATCTTGTCCAATTCTGAATGAGGTCCACTAAAAACCAAGCCAAGCATTCTGAAAAATAGAAAGTTTGGAAAGTTGATCTAAAAGGAAAGATGTCAATACCTTCATTACAACCAGACAGGAGTGAATGGTTGAAATAGTACCCGCCCACTGGGAGAATGGTGGATATCCTAATGGTGCAGTTTCAGGTTTGAGTGGACAGCAGTACCTTTGTCCTTACCTGCAGGTGAAAGCCAGATTCCGTCAGACCTGGTTAGTAATGTGATGGGAGACCTTTGGGAATACCAGGTGCCACCATAAACTTGTGTCCTTGGGCAAGTCACTTAACCCACATTGCCTAGAGTCTGGTGTGTGTGTGAATGGTTGGTGCTGGTGGTTGCTGTATGATGGCACATACAGTAGTATTTTATCTGTGAAGTGTCATTGAGTGTCCAAAAAAGCGCTGTATAAAACCAATGCATTATTATTATTATTAGATCAGAACTATTAAAGAGCTAACTCCCCTTCTGTCTCTGAGGAGTGGGTCTGGAGCTGGACCCTTGCTTGGGGGGCGTGTCGGACCAGGGCAGGGGCTCGGGCTGCTCCTCTAGCGCCCCCTCCATCACGGCCCCGGTGGTGCGTACCGTGTGCTACATTGCGGCTGAGCTAGTTCGGCTGGTGAGCTGCGTGGAGTCCATGAAGCCCGTCCTCCAGTCTCTGTACCACCGCATCCTCCTCTACCCCCCGCCACAGCACCGCACTGAGGCCATACGCATCATGAAGGAGGTACACACACACACAGGCACAGACACACAATCTCTCTTTATGTATGAAACTTCATAGTCATACAAGTTATACATACAGTATTCTAACAACAAGGGAACTCCCAAGGAGCTGCATTAGCGTATAGGCACACACACACACACACACACACACACACACACACACAGGCACACACACACCTACACACATATGCACATACCCTCACACAGGGAGACACTCATACACACACATGCACAAACACACACACACGTACAGTACATACACACACAGGCACGTGCACACGCATACACATACATACATATGCACATATATACACACGCACACACACACACACACACTAACACACACCTCATTGTGCAATTGTTTTGATTGTTTTTACATGACTTTCTCCATCACACCCGCAGCTCTGACATACATACAGGTGCACACACACACACACACACACATACACACACACACACACACTGCACAACAACCTCTGACTCGATGCTGTGTGTGCAGATCTTGGGCAGTCCTCAGCGCCTCTTGGATCTGGCGGGTCCCTGCGTGGCTGAGCCTGACACCAGGAAGAGGTCCTTCTCCAAAAGGAAGTCCCACCTGGACATGCTCCGTCTGTGAGTGAGCGCTCCCTGCTGACAGCTGGCTGAGGTCCCGTTCTCACTGTGACCTCTGCTCTCCTCAGGGTGATGGACGGCATGAGCGAGGCGTGTCTGAAGGGAGGGGTGGAGGCCTGCTTCTCCTCCGTGTCCTGTGTGTGCGCCCTGCTGGTAGCGCTAGAGGAGCTGTCCCAGGGCAGAGGGCTGCAGCTGGAGCAGGTGAGAGCCAAGGACAGCTCTGTATGACCCATATTATTGTATTAATTAATATTCATTAATATTTATGAAGGACAATACAGTCCATAGTTAAAAGAAAATATAAAATACATACAGTATAATGCATATTGAAAAAGAAATATGTATTAAAAAGAGAGGCAAGTTTGTTTGTCAGTTCATACACAAGGCAACACAAAGTGCTTAACAAAACAAGATCACACAAAACATTGAACTCATAAATAATCAGTGCATTAAACAGAGAGGAGTTACAAACCTTCATTTGAATATTTTCAGAGTCTCACATTTTTCAGGAAGACTAAATTTGAAATGCTGCTGCCCCATGCTTAGTCCTGACTGTCACCGTGCGTTATTGTTTTGTTGTTGGAAATGATAAGAAGACATTTACTTTGACATGTTGTGCTTCAGAATGTCTCAAATTATCTTCAGTGGAAAAACACCACAGAATCAGGAAAGTAAAAATTGTGGGAGGTGCTAAGTGGTCATGGTCAGTGGAGCCTGGTGAAAGGGATTATAGTAGTAGTAAGTAATCTTTATTTATATATACCGCCTTTTCACTGCACATCGGAGTCTCAAAGCGGTTTACAATTGTTATTTTTGGGAGTGGGGGTGCCAGTACAGGAGGCACATGCCAGACCTATTGTACATATTTTTAGTGGTAGGGGAAACCGGAGCACCCGGAGGAAACCTACGCAGACACGGGGAGAACATGCAAACTCCACTCAGAAAGGCCCTGTTCCGACCGGGATTTGAACCCAGAACCTTCTTGCTGAGAGGCGAGAGTGCTAGCCACTCAGCCACCGTGCTGCCCAAAAAGAATGTGAAACTGATTTGGGCTGCGCTTTAGAATGAGCAATGACAGAGCTAAATAAGGAACATAAATGGAATTTTTAGACACAATCAAAAAGCTTTACAATGAGGTACAGCGAGTCTATGGTGGAGGTACACCTGAAGCTGGCTGGATGATACTAAAAATGTGCGTAGTAAAAGGAAGCAGATTCTGTCCTGCGTTTTTAGAGTGGTTCTGGAGGTTCTAATGACGATCCAGAACACTCGACATGTGTTTTTTTATTATTGCATTTCTTGTGTTTGAAATGTTTGATTCTCTGATCTCTGTGGGCAAATCGACAGTTGTGTAAAGTCCTCTGTGATCACTACTGTTGTGATTGATACGAAAATAAATGGAATTGAATGGAGCTGTGTCCTTAGGCCCGCCTTCTGCTGCGGCGCCTGGACGACCTGAAGGAGGGAACCGAGTCGACCCGAGAGTCTATGGAGATCAACGAGGCAGACTTCCGCTGGCAGAGGCACGTTCTGTCTGCCCAGCCGGCCCCCTGGCCTTCCCAGGTCAGCCCCGAGCCCAGCCCCGACATCAGCATCAGCATCACCACAGAGAGCGGACACACCACACTGGGACTGGAGGAGCAGAGCCCAGGGGCCGAGGAGTGTGGAGAGGAGGTACACACACACACACACACGCCCACACACGTAGGGACACACACGTACAGACACACCCACACACATGCACTAGTGGGGGTGGGTCCCAGCTCAAAAAGGTCCATGAGCAAGTACGAAACAGAATTCTAATGACGTCTTTTATCCTCTCGAAAACGGCTTCACAGGATGGTCCAACGCTACGTTCCAGAAGTGTGTTGATGCTGAGGGGAGTGTTTTATTTTGGACCAGTCAAGTTGAACCGCTGTGTTTTGAATGCACTTGTTAACTGAAGGGGGCTCGTGCAGCTTACACATGCACAAATGCATTTGTTCACATTTTCCTGCAGGAGGGGTTGCCCTTCGGCCATTTGGAATCTGCTCATTTCTGTCGCAAACACATTTCATTGGAGGAAATGGCCGTCATTACATCTGTTTAATATTTACAGTCTATGGTATACACACAAACAAACACAGGTACGTACACACACACTGGTAAATAGACACACACACGCCCACACGCACGCACACACACACACACAGGTAAACATACACATTAACACACACAGGTACACAGAGACATATACACACACGCACACCATGGAGTGTGGCAAAGAGGTTGGCTAAACATTTAACATTTGTTGCAAGGGATGATTATGAAGCACAAAGGCATATAGTAGCCTGACCTTAGACTTACATTTGGACATACAGGATATATTACAGTACATATACAGGTACTGTATATATAAAGTACATTTATATTTAAATGACATCATTACACCCTGGTACTGACTGGGGTGTTGTCTCCAATGACAGGTGCGCATCCCATCCCCTACATCCTGCAGCGGTCAGGAGGAGGAGAGCCGCAGGCAAATGACCCCCAGGGCGGACGCCAGCAGAGGCCTGGAGGAGAGGCCCCCAGGGGGACCAGCTCCACCGGACGTCCTGCAGAGGAGCCATGGCATCGTCTACCCAGACATCACCAACTTCCTGTCAGTCGAGTCCAGAGGGCGCCCCTACCACGGAACAGGCTCAGCGCGCTACAGCGAGAGCAACTTTAGGTACAGACCACCCTCACGAGTGGTGTCTCTCTGGACTCTCTCTGGTCCCTTTCTGATCTCTCTCTGGTTTCTCTGATCTCTCTGGTCTCTCTCTGGTCTCTCTCCAGTCTCTCTGGTCCCTCTCTGGTCTCTCTGGTCTCACTCTCATCAGTTTCCCCTAACCAGGGAGACATCATACTTCATGCTTCCCTTTGACCTGTCCCCTCAGTATGGAAGAGCAGGAGCTGTCCCGCACAGAGCTGGACTCGTGTGACCAGTATTCTATGGCGGCGGAGAAGGACTCTGGACGCTCGGACGTGTCCGACATGGGCTCGGACAACGTGTCTCTGGCTGACGAAGACGAGCAGACTCCGCGGGACTGTCCCGGACACCGATCCTTACGCACAGCGGCGCTGAGCCTCAGGCTGCTGCGCCACCAGGAGGCCGACCAGCACAGTGCGCGCCTCTTCCTCCAGTCTCTGCGCGCCCTGCTGCCCCGCCTGCTCGCCCTGCCCACCACCGCCGAGGTGGACACCAGTCTACAGAACTTCTCCTCCACCTTTTGCTCCGGGCTGCAGGCCGGTGAGGCGCTGGGTCAGCTGGGTCTAGGTCGGATGGGTCTGGGTCTGCTGGGTCTAGTTCTGGTGGGTCTGGATCTGGGTCTGCTGGGTCAAGGTCTGGTGGGTCTGGGTGTAAGTCTGGTGGGTCTGGGTCAGCTGCACTGAATAATTACTACTGGGGTATTTGGACTGAATAATCTAATAACTTTAAAGTTGGTTTTACAATTACCACATGTGCCCAAAGACATGGAGTCTTATGAGTAAACACTTTACTTTTGGTGAATTATAAAACGTGTGTGCATATGTGTGTGTGTGTGTGTCCTCAGGGGGGGTGCAGTCCCCTGGTCTGGACCCTGAGGACCCTCTGAGCTGTCAGTCCCTGATGAATGCAGACGGTCTGTACCTAGTGTCGTACTCCGCTCTCCTGCTGAACCTCAGGCTGCTGTGTGCTGACCACTACAGACGCAGAGGCCAGACCGCCCTGCTCAGCCTGGTACACACGCACACACACACACATGCACACACACACAAACACACACGCACACGCGCACACGCACACGCAGTACATATACATACAATTATACATACAGTACAATTACATTGTTACTTGTGTTGTGTATTCGACTCTGTGTGTGTGTGTGTGTCTGTGTGTGTGTATTTATCTGTTTATATTTGCAGAAGGAGTTCAGTGGCCTACTCCAGAGCAGTGGGGTGCTGGTGGTGCTGTCTCAGGCCTGGATAGAGGAGCTCTATCAGCAGGTGTTAGAGCACAACCTCCTGGCTGAAGCAGGGTACTACGGCTCCCCAGAGGACCACCGCCCGCCACTCATCACCATGCTCATAGGTACCCCCCTCACCTACCCCTCTCAGCTACCACCCTCATCTACCACCCCTCACCTACCCCTCGAACCTACCACCCTCATCTATGACTACTCACTATGGCCACTCAGAGGAGTAATCGAAGCAACAGGCTCCTATCACTGTGCTTCCGAACGGAAGGTTTCAAGAGATCCTTTTTCCCTTCGGCTGTCAGACTGTACAACAAACCTGAATGAGTCTTCTGCTCTGATCCATCTATCTTTCTGTCTTTTTATCTCCCCCCCCCCCAACTCTAAAAAACAGTGGGAGAAAAGTGAGACACCTCGGGGAGGCCCAGATTGGTCGAGGGATCCGCTCCTACCAACAGACTTGCTGTAGATCCAGGACTCAGGCTGTAGAACAAGGTCTGAGGCCACTCAGGACTAAGATAGCTCCCAGCTAGGGAAGAGGTGAAGCCCATGAACCCGGGCTGAGGGAGACCAGTCCACAGGTACTGATGGAGGAGGCCGGGTTCATGGGTCATCATGTCATGAAACAGACATAGGGAGAGTGGGTGAATAGCGATGAACATACTACAACAGAAATCATAATGAGCGTTCAGATTAAGTAGGAAGTTAGTAGGATAGTGCTCAAGTTACCATACTTCTCCCATCAAAGTGACTTCATATGCAGCTTGAATGACCATTAATGCTTTCAGACAAAAGGTTGTAATTCTAAGTCTTACCTGAGTCTTATCTGTATAAGCTCATGCTAAATTAAAATTTGTAAGAAGGACTGTTTTAAGGCTGGCCTTGAATGAAGGACTGTGTCTGCTTCTTTGACGTGGATGGGGAGCTGATTCCCCAATATAGGATCCTGGGAGCTAAACGCTCTTCCTCCAACTGTGCTTTTCGACACTTTAGAAAGAAACCAACAGAAGTATGACATTGTGCGAGCGCAGTGAGAGACCTTGGTTGATATGACCTAACTTACCACCCCTCTTCTACTACACCTCATCCAACCCCTACCCTGTTTTTCATGTAAATCCTTGATAAGTTTCTATATTCAGTATTAGTTGTAATATGGATCTGTATCTGATGAGTGAGACTTCAGTCTAATCAGCGATGTGAGTGCAGCCTGTGTATGTGCTGTGTGCAGACATGGACGGCCTGGGCAGCAGCGCGATTGGAGGTCAGTTGATCCGGAGGTCGTCTGTCCAGTCGCCTCTGACCTGTGAGAAGAGCAGCAGTGACCTGGTGACTGCAGGTAGGTGTACGAGCCAGGTCTGTGTCCAAAGCAGACTGGGATGATGTGTCATTAATCACAAGAACGTATCTTAGTCGCTCTTCATTTCCGTCCATCAAAATGTGTATTTAAGTGGACGTGTTGTTGGCTCTGAGGATTGACTTCACTTGAGAAGACAATGCTCTTGTTATCTTGCACTTGCATATTCAGCAGTGTGAACAGTGTGACATCACAGAATCCATAGAGGGAGATGAAAGGAAAGTTGTGGGCTATCACTTTACATAATAAGATTAGATTAATCAGATTTAGTTTATTTGCCATTTGCAGCAAAAGCACATTATAACAAATGTGGAAAAGCCCCCAGTGTGCACCAGACAAGTAGATAGATAAAACAAGCTAAAAGAGTACAAGAATAAAACAGCTAAAAGTGCAGGAATCGCACACCAGAGCTCTCGCTACAGTGCCCTGACTCATTGGAAGGCCTAAAACCAAACGTTAAAACGACCTGTATCGAACACCCTCCCCTCCCCAGGTGTCTCAGTTACAGCACATCAAAAACAGTACGTTGCACAGTGTACTTTATGTAATCCACCTTTCACAGGTTCCACACCTTCTCATTCACTTTCCACACCACCCCTGTGAACAGTCTATTAAGAGTTATTTTACTGATGGTTCTCTTCTTTATTGTAGCTTGTACACAATGTCTTAGGTCTTACAAGAAACATTTAGCACAACTACAGTACGACACCTTCGAACTAAAGTATGTAAAATAAAACACAATTAGAAACACAAAAAAGTAAAAATAATGCATAAAACCAACCATATACACATTCCTCTGGCTGACACATTTCAACCTGATCAAACCAGCTTTAAGAATAGAATCTTAATAGCGAACTTTGTACGTGGACTTGTGCAAGTAAATTAGTGTGTCACGGAAAACATGTGACTAAACATAGGTTCCTACCTGAGGATCATCAAAATAAACTGGCAATAAATTCAGAAATATTTCTTAAAGATAGGTTAGTAAAATCACTCATACTTCACTTTACTTTTACTTTTTTTACTTTTGTCCACCAGTTCTTGCCGCGCCATAATTGTTCCCATCTTTGCTCTGTGCTTTCTCTGAAAGTTTTGATCCGTCGCTGCTTGGACGGTGTGTGGGCGGTGGGTGTCTGTGATTGACCCAGTCTGGGTGTTTGCCCACAGGCTCGGTGTTTGCACGCTTCCTGCTTAGCGGCGTGTGGAGGAACCTGATGGAGGTGCTGTCCGCGCCGCTGACCGGGCGCATGGCGGGCAGCTCCCGGGGGCTGGCCTTCATCCTGGGCTCCGAGGGACGAGAGGAGAACAGGCACCGGGAGAGAGACGCCATCTGCCTCAGTCTGGACGGGCTGAGGAAGGCAGCGGGACTCAGCTGTGCTCTGGGTACACACATGGAGAGAGATACACACACACACACACACACACACACAGATATAGACACATGCAAATATACACATACACACATATATAAACACACACACACATGCATATATAGACACACGGAGAGATATACATACACGCACACACAGACACAGCTACAGTATAGACAAGCAAAAAGACACACACTCATGTACACACATACTAACAAAAACACCCACCTGTATATAAGCCACACCACCAACATTTGAAAAGAAATGATGCTAAATAGATAGATAGATAGATAGACACTTTATTTGTTTTCCGTAGGAGAAATTCAGGTGTCCAGTAGAAGCAAAAAAAAAACCATCTGGGTGGAGCAGGTCATGTCACAAGATGGAGTCACTTGGTTCTGACCATTTTCTCTGCTCTAGTTCAAAGTAAAAAGCTGAAGGCTTCATTAGCATTTTTCAAAGTCAGCATTCGTCTTGTGGATTTTCACCTGATCAACAAGCATCAACAGACATTATCTATTTTAACCAGGCAACTTGCATTTTCTTTTAAATGCGCAATATACAGGGGAAAATACAACGCGTCCAAAACGCACAGCATGTGCGTGTCAATATAGAATAATATATTGGTCTTGCTTGTATGGACACAATTTAACTTACAGTTTTCTATGGAAATGCATTAATATAATATGTATTAACAACTGAAAGTCAGTAGCAAAGAAACAGTTCTAAAGTCACCCGTCTTGACGTAGCAATAAATCACAATCGATGTATTGAGTCCATGTCCTCTTCTTATCCAGTCTTAGCGTCTTTGTGCTTCATGTTTTCATGGAGAAAGATGAGAGCATCGTCATGTGCAAAGTGAAGCGCGCTTTCGGATGATTGTGTTCCCTTCTTGTTTTCCAGCCCCATCACCTACTGTTTTGTCTGCAGCCATGTCCGTCTCTGCTGTCTTGTGTTTATGAAGGACAAATTCACAGGTCCGGGGAAAGTGAGATTAACCCAAGACAAGTGGACTTCTCTAAAATGAAGTTGACTAGTGCCACAGACTAGTCGACAAGTCCACTCATTCGCCTTCATCTATTTTGACAATGAACAAGTGTCCTGTATCTACTGAAACTTGTTTGAGTCAAAATAATGAGTCCATAAACTCTGCTCTGACAACAGCCCAACTTTAGTACAATAATAATACACATATTAGCCACATCTTTATACAAGCCGCAGGGTTATACTGTATCAGGAAAAAAGAAGCAGCTTATGTTCTGGAAAATTTTTGTTTCTGATGCATCGCTCACCTTATGAACTAACATGCTTCCAAATGTGTATGTGTGTTGTGTGTCTGTGTGTGGTCAGGAGTGGCTGCCCACTGTGCCTCGGCCCTGGCCCAGATGGCTGCAGCCTCATGTGTCCAGGAGGAGCGGGAGGACAAGGAGCAGCTGGAGCCTGGGGACACCATCACACAAGGTACTAACCTTCAGTCGATAGATGAGGGCTCCAGTGAGGGCTGGTGGAAACAGGGCTGATGTCAGGGGCCATTGAGGGTCGACATGTGCCCCCTTAGAGCGGGTGAGGAGGTTAGCCACAGGGGAGGTGCTCAGAGTAGAGCTGCTGCTCCTCGACATGAGGTGGTGAGAAGAGGCTTCAGAGTGGAGGTGTTCCAAGCATCTCTTATCGCTCGTAGACACTGAACGGATCTCAGAGTCTCAGAAAAACTCTTAAAGTGTACGATTCTGCACAATTTGAAACTCAGTTCTGAAAAGAGCTCTGTAATAACCAGTACCAGGTCCTTCTTAAGTCCCCCTTGGTCCTGGTTCCATGGTACTAAAGTGTTCTAACTAACAGTGATTGGTCAGAGTGCTGCTAGAATCCATTGTTACCAAGTAATTTCCATTGACTAGTTTGTTGTTGTAAGCGTAAGTCGAGTAGAGTAGGGCTGGTGGAAACAGGGCTTTAAAGTGACTATGCGCTAAAACGATGTCTTGTGTGTCTCAGTTAATGTTTTGTTATGTACCATACCATGTGTGTCCTCAGTGAAGCAGCGTGTGGAGCAGCGACTGGAACAGATGCGGGCCCCCGGGGTCCGGCTCCACACGGCCCATGTGCTCTGCATGGACGCCATCCTCACTGTGGGGCTGGAGATGGGCAGCCACAACCACGACTGCTGGCCACACATCTTCAGGTACAGCCAGAGGCCGACCAGGGCTTGTGATCCGGAGGACCTGGTTTAGGCCTATTCAAATCTTATCAAAGTCGTTACAGTCACCAACACCTCGGAGCGTAATGACTATGAACTTGTAGAATATTAGTGATGGAAATGAATCGAGACCATGAAGCGTCGAGTAATCATTGCAGATTCAAAGTGAAGCGTGACCTGGAGCATGGTTTGGTGATATCAGCGGTTACCTTTGACCGGTCCTGAACCAAGCACCATATGACTGATTTAGGAAATGATTTGGGGAAGAGCCGTTAAAGTTTCTGCGTAATGTCGTTTGAAACGCATGGAGTCCCCCGTACATCTTATGTCGTTGGTTTGATTTTTGCAAAAACTCAAAGACGGAACAATCAAAAAAGAGAAAGTATTTTTGACCTAATCACTTCCAGTTTTTTATGGAAGAATCATTAAATAAGAAAGTATTTCAGAATTTCAGAATGGAGAAATTCACTATTACTTTGGTGAAACTTACAAAAAAGAAAGAAAAAAGAACAATGAAATATATCAATGTTTTAATTTCATTTATATGAGTGCATTACTGTGTTTCATGGTTCGCCTATCACATTTTTACATTTGTGTCTGGGAGAAAGGGCTGCAAAGTGACGCAATTGCACTTTTTGGCCTCTGGATGGCGCCATAGAGTGTTCATGAAGCATCGGTACCATGGACTGTAATTATTAGCGAACCTAGTGACGCCTATTTCCGTTGTTGAGACTTATGTCTCATCCCTTTTCCCCACTTGCCGTCTTTTTTAAAATGGCCATGAGTGCTCCCCCCGCAGGAAAATGTGAAAAAAAAATGCTGGAAAAAAATTGCCCAGGTTCAGTTATAAAATTATAATACAGACAGAGAGATACACAATAACTCATTCATCACATTCAGAACAAACACACACACACAGACACCTATACACACAAATACACACACACATACTTTTCTTGTATAGATATTAATAATGACTATTTCAACAAATGTCACCTCCTGCTGTGTCCTCAGAGTGACGGAGTACGTGAGTTCTCTGGAGCGCTCGCACTTCAGCGATGGCTCCCAGCCCTCGTCCCTCACCACCATCACCCAGAGCCACCACAGCAGCGTAGATCAGGGCCTGGAGCTGACCACTGAGCCCAGCACTGACCCCTCTGAGCTGGGTCTGAGTCAGCCGGTCATCCAGCCTCTGTCCATTCAGGAGCTGCTGAAGGAGGGAGTCCGGGGGAAGGGTCTGGAGCTGCGAGGGGGCAGTCTGCTGACCGGGAGCAGCGCAGCCAAGGCTGTGTGCACTCTGTCCACTCAGGCTGACCGGTGAGAAACACACACTGTCCACTCAGGCTGACCGGTGAGAAACACACACTGTCTACTCAGGCTGACCGATAAGAAACACACACTGTCCACTCAGGCTGATCGGTGAGAAACACACACTGTCCACTCAGGCTGACCAGTGAGAAACACACACTGTCTACTCAGGCTGACCGGTGAGAAACACTCTGTCCACTCAGGCTGACCAGTTGTAACCCAGGGCATGGTTTTATACAGTAATTTTTTGGACACTGAGAGATGCTTCGCATGTAATTATTCATTCACTCAAATGACTCCATTCACTGTGGTGAGAAAAAGCACTCTGAGATTTCTTTGAAATGTAAAGTGCATTATAAATAAAATGTATTATTATTATTATTATTATTATTTTTAAAACACTACTATAGCTACTGTTGTACCCATAACTGCCCTGGGGTTACACGGACAGAAGCGAGGCAACCAGTATGTGCCATCGGCCCGTCCGACCGCTACCAACCATTCACACACACACCTGACTCATTCTAGGCAACGTAGGTAAAGTGTCTTGCCTCAGTACACAACTGCAGTTTGGCACTTTACAGGCGCAGCCGCCCCACCGTGGTATCTTGACTCTCGCCAGACCCTTGTATTTACGCCATGCTCCACCAGAAGCGTCTCGCTGAGCTCCCTGGGATCGATGGCAATGCAAACTCCTTCACAATAGCAAAATATTATGAACCAATCAGGATCGCCGGTGCATTCTCAAAATCCGCTGCCTCTGATGTTTATGATGTAATGCAAACATCTCAAGGCAGCCAAAGAAAACCAAGATGCCGGACAGAAAGTCTGTAAACATTTATGCAATTTAATGCAATATGTTGATGGTTCCATGCTGTGATATGTCGGTTTTAAGAGTAACATTTTTGTGTAACGTTTGGTTTAAGTTGTCAACTGCAACTACACAACGCAAGTCGACAACAACTCGTGTGCTTCAATCTGAGTGGTTGAAGAAGCACGTCATTCAAAATAATGGACAAGTGGTTTATCCAGTCACATACAATATTTTTTTTTACAAGGCCCCGCCCTCTGAAATATGTCTGTTGAGAAATCCTAGACCCTTTTCTGAAGCTCAGCGAACTACAAGGATCTGGCGAGAGTCAAGCTACACTGTGGCACCAGGTGTATAACCTAGATCTCTGCTCCCTCAGGCTCTTCGAGGAGGCTTCTATGCAGCTCAACCTCGTGGCTCTGGTGGGTTTCCTGCAGCAGCTGCGGAAGGCGTCCCAGGCCCAGCTCTTCAGCTCCGTCACTGACACCGGGGACTACTCCTTGGCCATGCCCGGTACTAACCCTCTCACACTCTCATGCCCGGTACTAACCCTCTCACATTATCATGCCCGGTACTAACCCTCTCACACTCTCATGCCCGGTACTGACCCTCTCACACTCTCATGCCCGGTACTAACCCTCTCACACTCTCATGACCGGTACTGACCCTCTCACACTCTCATGCCCGGTACTGACCCTCTCACACTCTCATGCCCGGTACTGACCCTCTCACACTCTCATGCCCGGTACTGACCCTCTCACACTCTCATGCCCGGTACTGACCCTCTCACACGCTCATGCCCGGTACTGACCCTCTCACACCCGGTACTGACCCTCTCATTCCCTTTACTGACCCTCTCACATTCTCACAGGTTACAGGTTTTTAGCGGTAGGGGAGACCGTAGCACTCGGAGGAACCCTACATAGACAGGGAGAACATGCAAAGCCACTCAAAAATGCCCTATGAAAAATAGGACAAATAATCAAAAGATATACAGTGTTTATATTCCCTGCTGTAATCCTCTTCGTGTGATTGTGGAGGAGAGGCCAGGGCCACCCAGGAGAGGGCGCTGCACCTGTTCCGTCTGGGGGAGTGCATGCTCCGGATCGTCCGGAACAAGAGGCGACCCCTGCTGCACATGATGAGGGCGTGGAGCGTGGTTGCCCCCCATCTGGTGGAGGTGAGAAGTGCACACTTTGATGATTAATAAATACTATAAATACTATTACAGAGAGACAGAGAGAGAGATAGAGAGACAGATAGTGGCACCAATAAAGCTGAGGGCGCATGCAGCTGTCACCACACAGAGGGGTAAATGTTCATTACTTTAAGAAAGTACACTTAACAAAAGTAAACAGTACTTTCCACAGACCATTTGTCAAAGTGCTGTAAATTTGTTGTCGTATTGATTTTCACACACTGTGTCAAAAATCCATACTTGTACAGGTGCCCTGGAGAAGACACAGGAGAAAGAAGGATTTTAGAAGCCAGTGTTGGGGCCAGAACATAGCCATCACCAGACAGAGTCACTAATACTATATTAGTGACATGTCACTAAAAATTTAAGACAATTTTGAGGCAAAGTTTGAGCCGGGGACAGTATCAGGCTCCTGGAGATTAGCGATCCAGCGTATTATAACTTTTATAAAGCATCCAAGATAAGTCAGATGAATTAATGTTCAAGAAGGAAAAACAGGAAGAGCATTCGATGACACAATATTTGCTAATATTTTTTTAAAGAATATTTTACTACTATCAGCTACTATGCCCTGCCCTCTGGTGTCATTAGGGATGAAATAGAACTGATCTGACAGGTACATGGATACCTGATAAGTCTGAAGTTTTAGGATGTGACTCCCCCCTTCTTCCTCCTTCTCCCCCCAGGCTGCCTGCCACAAAGAGAGGCATGTGTCCCAGCGCTCTGTGTCCTTCATCCATGCCGTGCTGACAGAGGTGCTGAGCAGCTGGGCCGAGCTGCCACACTTCCACTTCAACGAGGCTCTGTTCAGACCTTTGGAGCACGTGATGCAACTGGAGCTGTGCGACGAGGATGTGCAGGACCAGGTGAGGCTTCACCAGCACCATCTGCACCAACACCACCTGCAACACCTGCACCTGCAACACCAGCACCTGCAACACTTACACCTGCAACACTTACACCTGCACCATCTGCACCAGCACCATGTGCTCATGCAACACCTGCACCAGCACCATCTGCACCAGCAACACCTACACTTGCATCACCTGCACCAGCATCACTGTGACATTTGAGACTTTTGACTTCCTCATGTTCTATAACATTCTATAACATTGCTTCTCATCTGTCTCAGACCTGGAGTTGTCTTTGCTCCATCCAGGCTGAAACTACTTTCACATATCCTCAGATTGCATCATGGCAGAACCGTTTTAGTTATTTGTTGTTAGGCACGTTCCCTCCGCAGAAAATCAGCCCCAGACCATTGTGTTTCCACCCACATGTTTTAGTGGGTATGGTACAACTTGGTATTCTTTTCCCTCCAAATACAACAAGCAAGTTTTCATCAAAAAAAGTAAAATTTTGGCCTCATCTGACCATGTGATATTCCCCCAGGCCTCTTCTGAATCATTCAGATGGTCAGTGGAAAACTTTGGACTGGACATCAGTTGGCTTCAGCGGGGGGAAATTCTATGGGGAGAACATGGGAGTGGAAACATTATGGTCTGGAGGTGCTTTTCTACAAAGGGGACAACATGAGTGATCCGTATTCAAGAGAGGATGAATGGGGCGGTGTATCCCAGATTTTGGACAAAAACTTCCATCAGTGACAACGTTAAAGATTGGCTTAACGACAATGTTCCCAAACAAACCCCCGACTGGATCTTAGGGTTAGAGGTAACCTACCACAAGTGACACTTTATTCAATTTATCAAGTTGTTGATTTGCCAGTAGGGGCGACAGTAGCTCAGTTGGTAGAGCGTTGGTCTTTGGATCAAATGGTCATGGGTTCAATCCCACCATGACCCATGTAATCTGCTCCCACTGATGACTGCTGTCGTTGTGTCCCTGGGCAAGACACTTAACCCCACTTTGCCTGAAGTCCCTGCTGAAAGATCAAGGCCGTATCTGTGGTGAAGGAACAGCCATCATCCTGTGGACCCACCACCTGCAGGAGGATCAGCAAGGGACTGGGGCAATGTGAATTGGGTGGCAACTCTGATTGCCATCCCCTGACCCAGAAATGGACAATAAAGGGATGAGAATGAATGAATGAATGAATGATTCGCCAACACATATCAGAAAACAAATAGTTCAAACACAGTAAATGCATTGATACAAGCACATAGAGCCATTGGTCCATAAGGAAGACCAGTGTCCATAAATGTTGTTAAATGTTCCACATTTAGTGACGATCCAAGACAATCAACATGACATTTATTAACATAGTGGAATAGTTATAGTTACTAATTATTCCACATCCACAATCAGTATCTTTAAAGTCCTTTTTCACCCCACAAGACACTGAGCAGTGTGTGATGTGCTGCAGGTGGTGACCTCCATCGCGGAGCTGGTGGAGATGTGTTCTCCTCAGATCCTCTCGGGCTGGAGGCCTCTGTTCAGCGCTCTGAGGACCGTGCACAGCAGCAAGAGTGACACCAAGGACTACCTTCTGGGGGAGTACTCTATGGGTGAGACACACGCACGCACGCACGCACGCACGCACACGCACACGCGCACACGCACACGCACACGCACACGCACACGCACACACATGCACACACACACACACACACACACACACACACACACACACACACACACACACACAGTTTTACTTTTGAATGCACTGGAAAAGGCAGCAAGTCCTATATAGCTCTGCAACTGTTTTTTGTGTTCTACAATTGTTATTTTTCATGCTTTTTTAAACCTGAGATGCTGCTGCAGTACAGAGTTCATGGCTTTGTACTTTCTACTCGAGAATGCTAACTTCTTTAAAAATGCTAACAAAGCATTCAGCATCTCACTTTGGACCAGAGCAGAGACTATGGTCCTAACAAGCAGCTGCTCCACCTCTGCTGCTGTGACCTGAAGGGCTGTTCATTTTAATACCATTGTTAGATATTTTTGAGAATTATCTGTTTTTTTGTTTTGTTTGTATGGATGGATGTGTTTCTGCTGCTACTGAACACCTGATTTTCTTCCACGGGGATCAATAAAGTATCTATCTATCTATACACACATGCACACACACACACACACACACACACACACACTCACATGTACTGTATATTCTTGGGTTTCATATGATGTCAGGGCAGTGGTGCGAATAACAAACATAGGACAGGACGTGACGTACCTTGGCGGTGCAGTCTGCCGGGTTTGTACACGGAGATATAGTAGAAGAAGAAGCGCTGTCAAAATGCCATCTTTTTGTGCGGTGTTCGCTTGTAGCAACCGCGCAAATGGAGAGAAAGACAAGAGTTTCTTCATGTTCCAACTGTGGCAGGGCAAGGCAAGTTTATTTGTATAGCACAATTCATACACAAGGCAACTCAAAGTGCTGAACAAAACAAAATAGCATTAAAATCATAAACAATCACAGAACATTAAAAGGCAAGATAAAAATTAGTGCTGTCCAACGATTAAAATATTTAATCGCGATTAATCGCATGAATTTCATAGTTAACTCGCGATTAATCGCAAATTAGTCACACATTTGTGTGGGTGTGTGTGTGTGTGTGTGTGTGTGTGTATGTGTGGGTATAGACCATAGACTGTATAGAATCATGGTGTCATTATGATGATGATAAACAATCTGTAAATATTTTGTAAATTTGTTCATGTAAATACTCTATGCTGTTTCTCTGTTTACTTTCGGTATATCTATGACTGTATACTGTTTGCTTGTATTGCCTTTTTTATTAACCCCTCCCCCCCATCTCCCACTTCATGTCCCCCCCCCCCTCCTATGCAGTGTTGTGCCAGTTCACAGCTTTTCTGAACTAGTTCAAGTTCAGTTCATACATGCTCAAAGTGAACAGAACACGTTCAAAGTTTACATTTTTAATTCTGAACTAGTTCAAAGTTCAGTTCATTTTACTTTTTTCGTGAGATAAATACATATTTTTTTCACACTACGAGCTATATATATATATATATATATATATATATATATATATATATCTCCTGTACACCCACAGGAGGAGAGCCTTTTGACTACAAAACAGACAAGATTTATATGGTTTTCAATGGGAGCCAAACGGAGTTGCCCCATCTCTGCTCATAAACTACAGACAGTAATGCGCTGCAGTGCGTGTGTCTATACTTTATGTCAAATGTAAACGGTGTAAACTTTGTCGCTAACTCACCCTGTGTTTTCATCACGACTCACATGTGAAAAGCACCAGCTCACAGCGCCGCACCGCAACACAGAGTCGGGGTGCGTTCACAGACGGTGGAAACCGTAGGAATTTTTAGATTTCGGCGGAAAAAGTGCGAGAATACAGGAGGGAGGAACTTTCTCTCGTTGCGTTTTAAAAGAGAAAACAGATTCCAACGTTCATAGTGATGTCTGCCGTTCATGACACATAAAATTAACTAATTCACGTTCAAGTTCTTTATTTAAAAATGTGTTGCGTTCAGTTCAATGTTCACGAAAAAATGAGCGTGTTCAATGAACGCGTTCTTTTGAACTCGTTAACGCACAACACTTCTCCTATGTGCCCTTCTGGGTTTCTTCTTTGGCCCCCTGTATCCAACTACGACTACAACTACATATTGTTTGTAATCTCTGTCTACAATGTATCTGAACTAGTCCTTTTCTTTGTTTCTATTTTTATTCTGTATATGTGTTTGTCTGCAATAAAAAGTAAAAAAAAAAAAAAAAAAATTTATCGCGCAATAAAAAAAATGACGCCGTTAATATTGATTTGCGTTAACGCGTTAATAACGCGATATTTTGGACAGCACTAATAAAAATATAAAATCCCTCAGTTGTATGCACAGCTAAACAGAACTGTTTTTAACCTGGTTTTAAACATTGTCATTGAGGAGGCCTGTCTCTTCAGGAAGATTGTTCCAGATTTTAGCAGCATGAATCTGCAAAGCAGCCTCCCCATGTTTAGTTCTGACTCTGGGCACTAACAGGAGTCCAGTCCCTGTGCTCCTCAGAGTCCGGAATGGTTCATATGGTACTAACATGTCACTAATATATTTTGGTGCAAGGCCATGGAGAGACTTGTACACAAGCAGAACTGTTTTAAAGTCTATTCTCTGAGCCACAGGAAGCCAGTGCAGAGACCTGAGGACCGGACTAATGTGGTCGTACTTCCTGGTTCTAGTCAGGACTCGAGCTGCTGCATTTTGGATGTACTGCAGCTGTTTTACAGCCTGTTTGGAGAGACCTGTGAGCAGGCCATTGCAGTAGTCTAACCTACTGGAGACAAATGCCTGGATAAGAATCTCCAAGTCTGCTTTAGACACTATGTTTTTGATCCTGGCAATGTTTTTTAGGTGGTAAAAAGCTGCTGATGTTACTGATTTAATGTGGCTATTAAAATTTAAGTCTGAGTCCAGTATTACCCCTAGATTTCTGACCTGGTTTGAAGGTTTTAGGGAGAGAGACTGTAGGTGACAGATGACGCTCTCTCTTTGTTTCTGGGGACCAAAAACAATCATTTCAGTTTTGTCTGCGTTTAGCTGAAGGAAGTTATTTTGCATCCACTCACTGATATGTTGGATACAGTGAAGGAGTGAGTCCACTGGTCCATGTTCTCCTGCAGTCAGTGAGACATAGATCTGAGTGTCGTCTGCATAGTTATGATAGGAAACTTTGTTTCTGCGTATTAACTGACCTAACGGCAGCATGTACAGATTGAACAGAAGAGGTCCCAGGATCGACCCCTGTGGTACTCCACAGGTCAGGGCCATATGATCTGAGACACAGTTTCCAATCTCCACAAAGTACTTCCTGTCTTCAAGGTAAGACCTAAACCAACTTAGGGCGGTGCCAGCGACGCCAACCCAGTCCTCTAGTCTCTGTAAGAGGATTTCATGGTCGACAGTGTCAAAGGCAGCACTCAGATCTAACAGGATTAGGATTGAGACTTTTCCTGCGTCAGTGTTCAGCCGGATATCGTTTGTTACTTTGACAAGAGCTGTCTCAGTGCTGTGGTGGGGTCTAAAGCCGGTCTGAAACATCAAATGAGTTGTTGATTATAAGATATCTATTTAGCTGTTGGTAGACAACTTTTTCAAGGACTTTCCCCATAAATGGCAGACTTGAGATGGGACGATAGTTGTTAAATACCGTGGCATCCAGACTGCTCTTTTTTAGCAGGGGCCTGATGACTGCAGTTGTCAGGGCCTTTGGGAATATTCCAGAATGAAGGGACATGTACTATCTGTGTGAGTGAAGGTAACAGACTGCTCAGAACAGACTTCAGAAATCTAGTGGATTGTACATCCAGGCTGCATGTGGAGGAGCTCAGACTTGTGATGATCTCTTGGACAGTTTGGTCATTTACAGGTGCAAAGTGAGTTAGCTCAAAGAGCCTTGCTGGCTGTTGGATGGTTATCTGTGGATTGGAGATAATAGCGTTTTTGATGCCTTGAACCTAGTCATTGAAAAAATTTGCCAACTCATTACATTTACGTTTGGAAGTAAGCTCTAATGGCAGCTGAACAGGGGGGTCTGTTAATCTATTAACTGTTGAAAACAGAACACGCAGATTGCTACTGAAGCCTTCAATCATTTCAGAAAAATACCTTTCTCTTGTACTACGTAGAACCCGGTTAAACTCGCACAACTTATCTTTGAAGATCTTGTAATCAACCTGGAGGTTGGACTTAGCCCACTTTCGCTCGGCCCTCCGGCACTCTCTCTTTTATGCCCTGACCAAGTCTGCTTTAGCCCACGGCGCCTTCTGCTTATTTTTCACTATTTTAACCTTCACAGGAGCGTCCAGAACATTCAAAACACTAGAGGTGACAGAGTTAAACAGTTAATCAACAGTCGAACACGATGCATTCTCAAAGTTTATCATTCCCATAAATAGTTCACCGTATTTTCATTTATGTGTCTTCTTCGAACAGTTGCAGAGTCCACTGGTGGTTTGTTAGTGAAACACAAGTCAAAAAATACACAGAAATGATCCGAAAGAGCAACATCGACCACGTTTACATTGGAAATGTTCACCCCCTTAGTAACTAACAGGTCTAGAGTGTGCCCTCTGTTGTGGGTGGGGCCACTCACGTGCTGAGTGAGACCAAAGGATTCAAGAACAGAACTCAGCTTTTTTGCATTTTTGTCATTACCATTATCCACATGAATATTAAAATCACCTGTAATAACTAAGCTATCAAAATCTGTGCATACAACTGAAAGTAACTCGGTAAAATTATCAATAAAGCTGTAGCATGACTGCGGTGGCTTGTATAGGACAATGAAGAGTATTGGAGGAGATTGATTGATTGGGTCTCTCCTCTACCTTGACTGCCAGTGGCTGCGAAGCAGAGACCGTGTGCATCCTAGTGTTTAGAGATAAGAGGGGAAGGGGAACGCGGGGGAGGAGGATGGAGAGGCGGGTGGTTCCTGGGAGTTGGACGAGGGGGGGTTGAAGGTGGATGGGTTTTTGGTGATGGGTTAGGGGAGGGGCAGGCTGAGTTGGGTGGTGGACGAGGGGGGAGTGGAGGTGGAGGGGTTCTGGAACCTTGGAGGTGTTGTTCTTTTGGAACCTTGGAGGTGTTGAGTTCTTTTTGAATCGTGGAGGTGTTGAGTTCTTTTGAGGCGGTGGGGGTGCAGAGACCTCAGGAGTCGGTGGAGATGGTTGTGATGTCTGTGCTCCTTTGCTTCTTCTTTCTCCCTTTCGACGGCTGCACTCGCTGCGCAGGCTGAGGTCTTAGGGCAGATGCAAAGTTACTGTATCCATCAACACTTTTAGTCAGTATTTGTTCAAATGTGGACCTTTTTCTTCAAAAAGCTTGTGCCTATTCCAGGATAGATTAAAGTTTTCAATGAAGCCAAGTCCTCTGCGTGAACACTCATTGAGTAGGAATGTATTTGGCTGGTACAGACGGCTAAACTTCAAAATTTTTCCATCTATATTTGGAAGTGGTCCACTGATAAAAATGTGTATGTCCATTTTCTTGAGGTCATCCAGTTGATAAATAAAGTTGATAAATTCCACGAAGCTGAAGTGTGTAAAAAGAGTAATCCCTGTTTTGTAAATGAAATGATTAAGGAGAAACAAAAAATTTAAATAAAATGATTCAAGGAGATTAAAAGGCGAAGCAAAAGCAGAGCAGAGAGAGACTCACGACGCTCTCTTCAAAAGCAGGAAGCTGTGGTCTCATATAAAGGAGTACACTTTGAAAAAATCACTCGAATGAGGCGGGCAAGGTGGATCAAGGCTTTCCCAGATAAGCGCCTCCTGCAGGTCACACGAATGAAACGCAGCAATTTCTTCTTCTTTTTTTTTTTTTTTTAAATGCCCAAAATCAAGACTATTTTGAGAAATATTTTTTAGTGCTCCCTTAGAATTGAGTGTCCCCGACTAAGATTGTTACAACAAGCGTACACAGCACAGGAGGAGAGCCTTTTGACTCCAAAACAGACACGATTTACATGGTTTTCAATGGGAGCAAACCTGAGTTGTCCCACCTCTTCTCATTCGCCCCCTACTGGCCAGTTTAATGAAACCCAAGAATAAACAAACACACCCATACACACACTGTATATAGACATTCACACACATACACATAGACTGTATATGCACACACAGACACACACGTGCACTTACACAAGCACACACACACATACTCGTTTCACATGCCCCTCTCCTTGTGTTGCAGGTAAATCTCAAGCTCCGGTGTTCGACGTATTCGAAGCCTTTATAAACACAGACAACATCCAGGTGTTCGCCAACGCTGCCACTGACTACATCATGTGTCTGATGAAGTTTGTCAAGGGTCTAGGTCTGTTACACACACACGCACGCACGCACACACACGCACACACACACGCACACACAGTACAGTACAGACACATAGTATACATGCACAGAAAGTATGACTCCCAATTTTTCCATATCATGTGGGTGTTTTTTTGTGTGTGTGTGTGTGTGTGTAGGAGAGGTGGACTACAAGGAGATCGGGGACTGTGTGAACTCGTCAGCCTTCAGCTCCACTGACCTGTGCCTTCCCGCTCTGGACTATCTACACAGGTGTTCCCAGGTACACACACACACACACATAGGTACACATTTTCGCACTCACACGTACAAACACGGGTACACACACATGTGGCAAGAGCTCTGGTGTGTGTCGTCTCTGTCTGGCGCACACCGGGGTAGTCTTGTACAGTTTTTCCAATGTGGTTTTACTGCAAATGGCAAATAAATGAATCTGAATCTGAATCTGAATCTGAATCTGATACGCAGCGGCTGCCCTGCTAGGGTGATTTTTCCAAATACCGCAGGGAGGCATTTAATCAATTGCATGAAAGAGAAAGGCTGGAGGGACAGGGAGGAGAGACATGACGAGAGAGAGGGAGAGGAAGGAGGGTGAATACATGGCTAAGAATGTATACATTTGAATAGGCAAGGTAAGTTTATTTTTATAGCACAGTTTATACACAACTCAAAATGCTGAACAAAACAAGATAGAAACAATCACACAAGGCATTCAGTTCTGCTGATGTTGTGTGTTGTGTGTGTAGCTGTTGTCAAAGATCTACAAGATGGCGTCCAAGCCCGTGTTTGTGGGCGCTCGTCTGTCCAGTCTGCCCCTGAGGGGAGGGGCCCGCTCTGTGAGCAGCGACGACGGACTGGACTGTGTGCTGCAGGAGTTTGACGACGACTCAGGTAATACACACACACGCATACACTCTGACACTGACATACACACACAAAACACTGAAAAAATAGACAAACATACTGAAACACTCTGACACTGACACCACTCTCATGCACTCTTGACACTGACACACACAAACACACTGAAACACTGACACTGACTCACACACACTCTGAAACATACACACACACTGGAACACACACGCTGACACACACCAACACACGCACACACACTCTCTCCTCACCCCTCCCCTCTCTTTCTGTGGCTCAGGTCTGGTTCAGGTCTGGATCCTGTTGTTGGAGCAGCTGACTGCAGCGGTCTCCACCTGCCCTCGTCAGCACCAGCCCCCAACCCTGGAGCTGCTCTTCACCCTGCTGAGGGAGCTGACCCATGTGCCAGGTGAGGGTCTCTACTCCCCCCCCCCCCCTGCTGAGGGAGCTGAACTATGTGTCAGGTGAGAGTCTCTACTCCCCCCCTCCTCCCCCTGCTGAGGGAGCTGACCCATGTGTCAGGTGAGAGTCTCTACTCCTCCCCTCCTCCCCCTCCCCCTGCTGAGGGAGCTGAACCATCTGTCAGGTGAGAGTCTCTACTGCCCCCTCCCCCTGCTGAGGGAGCTGACCCATATGCCAGGTGAGGGTCTCTACTGCCCCCTCCCCCTGCTGAGGGAGCTGACCCATGTGCCAGGTGAGTCTCTACTCCTCCCCTCCTCCCCCTCCCCCTGCTGAGGGAGCTGACCCACGTGCCAGGTGAGATTCTCTACTCCCCCCTCCCTCTGCTGGGGGAGCTGACCCATGTGTCAGGTGGGAGTCCCTACTCCCCACCTCCTCACCCTGCTGAGGGAGCTGACCCATGTGCCAGGTGAAAGTCTCTGCTTCCCCCCTCCTCCCCCTCCCCCTGCTGGGGGAGCTGAGCCATGTGTCGGGGGGGAGTCTCTACTCCCCCCTCCCCCTGCTGAGGGAGCTGACCCATGTGCCAGGTGAGTCTCTCTACTGCCCCCTCCCCCTGCTGAGGGAGCTGACCCATGTGCCAGGTGAGTCTCTACTCCCCCCCTCCGCCTCCCCTTGCTGAGGGAGCTGACCCATGTGCCAGGTGAGATTCTCTACTCCCCCCTCCCCCTGCTGAGGGAGCTGACCCATGTGCCAGGTGAAAGTCTCTACCCCCCCCCCCCTCCCCCTCCCCCTGCTGAGGGAGCTGAACCATGTGTCAGGTGAGAGTCTCTACTCCCACCCTCCTCCCCCTCCCCTCCCCCTGCTGAGGGAGCTGACCCATGTGCCAGGTGAGGGTCTCCACTCCCCCCTCCTCCCCCTCCCCCTGCTGAGGGAGCTGACCCATGTGCCAGGTGAAGCTCTGTACTCCCCCTCCTTCCCTTCAGACCCGGTCATTGACTCAAGTCTCCTCTTCATCCTCCTCCTCTCCCTCAGGCCCAGGGTTCGCCCTCTTTGCCGTCATCCAGCTGCTCCTCCCCGTCATGTCGCTATGGTTACAGCGCAGTCACGGAGACCACGCATACTGGGACATGGCGGCTGCAAACTTCAAGCACGCCATCGGTCTGTGCTGCGAGCTGGTGGTGGAGCACGTTCACAGCTTCATCCACTCCGGTGAGGGGGGGGATGCCCACTTACATTCGCTTTTCACCAGATTTTATTAACTCATTAGAAAATAAATCGGGTACAGCTTTTTTAATCGTAGAACTACGCACAATTCAAAAATGACAGATAATTTTGTCAAATATTGACACAATAATAAACTACACATACTGTAGATACAGAAAGCGTCACAAAGTTACGAAGACCAAAAATTTGTGATGTGCAAACGACACCGACACTCTGGAGCGCATATTGGTCTTTCGTGGATCAAAACAAGAAGGTCACGCGGTGTTTCGCGGGTTCTCATTGGTTCAGAGCGTTTCAGTTTATTGTTTGGACACGCCTCCTAGCTTTGACAGCTTTTAATGGATAGTGTGGACTGTAGTGGATAGGCGCTAACTAGCTACATAAGGACTTAAAGACTTCTGGTGCCGTGCTGGAAACCCATCTTGCGTCATGTGACCCGGCAGGACAGTCTATGGCTGTGACACAAAATAATTCAATCTTTAACCCACATTTAGCAAAAACAGCACACAATATAGCGGAAGCTTCATGTTACTCCCTCTGAGTTTATAAAGGCTCAAAATGGTTTTAAGTTTTAAACTGACATTTGTTCGTCTAGAGGAGAAATGCCAACATGACGAGAATGCCGTCAGAACTGAAAGGAACATAAAAAATGTACATTAGCACTAAAAGACGGCACTTACACATATAACACAGAGCAATGGAGACCAAGACATACCTCATTGGCCGCTTTACTCAACACAAAAAGGACTTTTAAAGGGTTTCTTTTCTGGGACTTCCGGTCACGTGGGCGTCGACATGACGGCATAGAGAAAGAGCTCCCGTCTACAAGTTCATTTTTATACCCTAAAACTAACTCGAATTCGAGATTTCGTTGAGCTGTGTGCGTAGGGTACCATAACGGTGCAAAAATGCCCAACAAGCTTAAGGGGAGCGTCTCGCGGAGAACAGAACAGCGTGTAGTGGAGGAGGACGCTCTCTCGCAAGGTAGCAATGCTAGTAGCACTAGCAACATGGAAGACGAACCAAAGATAGGAAGTGGTGATGGTGCCAACTTTGATCTAATCTTAAAAGAGCTCCGTGAGTTCAGACGGGAGAACAAGGAGCAGTTCGACAATATAAGAGAGGACATAAACGGCATCGCCAAGAGGATGGACGAAGCGGAGGAACAAATAATGGAGGCAGAGACTAGCATACAGGCTTCGGAGGAGATGCTACTGGAGTTAGCAAAGCTCCAAACCCAAGTTGAAGCTAAGTTGACGGATCTGGAGGGGCGCTCACGGCGTGAGAACATCAGGATTCACGGAGTGGTTGAGGGGGCAGAAGAGGGAGCGACGTCTGTTATTAACTTTGTTGAGTCATTATTAAGGAACGGCCTCGGAATCCCCCCGACCACCGCATTTAACATCGAACGGGCGCACCGTGCCCTGGGAGTAAAGCCACCCGTCGGGGCCCCCCCACGGTCCTTCGTGGTCAAGTTTGCAGGTTATCGCTTAAAAGAGGACATTCTCAGGCGAGCATGGCAAGCGAGAGGCTTTGATTTTCAAGGCAAGAAGGTTTTTTTGGACAATGACTATGCCCCCGAAATACAAAAAAGGCGCAAGGAGTATACCGCAGCCAAAGCGGCTCTCAGGGAGAAGAACATACGCTTCCAGACGCCTTTCCCGGCCAGGCTGAGAGTGCATTACAGCGAAGGCATGGTTACGTACAACTCTGCACAGGAGGCGACCGAGGATATGGTGAAGAGAGGTTTGTCGGTAAACCTTGTCAAAGGCCACACTACGCTGTTGGAGCAGATAAAACAACGGATGTGGCAATCGTACGGTAAAAAAGTGAATAAAGGGGGCATGGCCCAGATGCCAAGTTTCATAGAGAAGCTCCAGGCATTCCGACGCCAGAGTGATGACACGGCATAAGGTCTCAGACTGGTCTAAAAAAGTAAATCATTCTCCTGGTGACAATTACTGTTCTGTTTTCGGCTAAGATAATCTTGTTAATTGTTATGTGCTATTATGACAAAGGCATTGGTATTGAGTTTATTGTAGATGGGTGGGACCTCAATGAAAGACCCCACGGACTTACGCACTAGCCAACAGGCTGAAGAGGGCGCTCCAGTACAAGAGGACAGAGCAGCTCTTCCCTTCCCCGTGGCCAAGTTTCTGGCCTTCCTTTTGGGAGTCACTTTGTTCCGTTTAAGGTTTTTGTTTTATTTTAGTTATGTTCTTTATCTGTTCTATTTTATTTTAGGGGTAAACTTATCTTTACAGAACTATTTATTTTCTTTGTCTATCCATGCAGAATTTCAGAAAAGTTAAAATAGCTACATATAATGTAAATGGGCTGGGAAATCCAGTTAAAAGGAGCAAAATTATGTCGAAGTTGAAAAAAGAGGAAATTGAATTGGCACTACTACAGGAAACGCACTTAACTCATTCAGAACATGAGAAACTGAAGAAATGGAAATTCAAACAATTTTCTTCCTCCTGCCCCCAAAGCTCAAAGAGAGGGGTTGTGATACTGATCTCAAATAGATTAAACTTTGAGTGTACTCAAGTGAAAGAGGATGCTGAGGGGAGGTATGTACTGGTCAAAGGCTATTTACAGGGCGCTTTGATAACAGTAATAAATGTTTATGCTCCACCAGGGTCAGAGTGGAAGTTTTATAAACGCATTTTTGAATTGATTACATTGGAAACAGAAGGCATTTTGATTTTGGGAGGTGATTTAAATGTCCGTCTCAATCCATTCCTTGACTCCTCTAATTCACAGACACAAGGGATGAATAAAATTACCAGAAATTTAAAATTGTCTATGAAAAATCTCAAGATCCTTGATGTTTGGCGAGAACTCAATCCATCAAGTAGAGATTATACTTTCTTCTCACATCCTCATAATATTTATTCTAGACTGGATTATTTCCTCATTTTTCAAAATGACTTTCATAGAGTGACTAACTGTAAAACAGGTGTTATGGACGTTTCTGATCACGCCCCTGTCTATATGGAGATGATAATCAGTGAGGAGAAAAGAGATACTACCTGGAGGTTAAATACAAGCATTCTAAATCCCATGAGGGAACAAATTAGGGAAGATATCAAAAACTATTTAGCTGAGAACGATACCGGAGATATTGCCCCTATAATTGTATGGGACGCTTTGAAAGCTGTCATGAGGGGCAAAATCATAGGATACTGCTCTAATTTAAAAAAAAAAAGAAATAAACATCTTAAGGACTTACAAACACAATTAAAAACCTTGGAAAACGCGCATAAGGCTAATCTAAATCCAAAACTGATACCTGATATTAATACAATTAAGAATGAAATCAACAATATCATGTCAAGTGAGATAAAGAAAAAAATGACCTTTATGCGGCAGCAGTACTATGAAGCCGGAGGAAAATCAGCTAAATTACTGGCGTTCAAACTGAAAAAGCAGCAATTAGACAATGCTATACACAAAATAAAACATCCCCAAACAAATACCATAGTTTCTAAATTGGAAGATATACAACAGTCATTTTTGTCCTTTTTTGAACAATTATATTCTCAACCCAAAGTAGACAGCAACCTAATGGAAGCATTTCTGGAGAAAGTAAATTTGCCAAAAGTAAGTGAACAGCAAAACAGATCCTTGATTTCTGAATTTACTGAATGCGAAATTAAAAAAGCTATTTCTGACTCTAAAACTAATAAAGCGCCTGGACCGGATGGTTACCCTTCTGAGTGGTATAAGGAGACAAAGGACCTTATTGCCCCAATTTTGAGAGCCACATTCAATTATGTTCTGAAATCCGGAAAAAATTCCTCCATCTTGGAACGATGCCTCCATCTCTTTGATAGCGAAGGAGGGAAAGGACAGACTGGATTGTGGGAGTTACCGTCCCATAAGTGTCCTCAATCAAGACTATAAATTATTCACACATATTATTTCTAAGAGATTGGAAAATATTTTACCCCAAATAATAAGCCTCGACCAGACAGGTTTTATCAAAAGGAGACAAACACAAGATAATATTCGCCGAACATTGTATATAATTGACCATGTGGTAAAAAATCAGGATAAAATGTTGCTTTTAAGTCTTGACGCAGAAAAGGCGTTTGACCGTGTGAATTGGGAGTTCCTATACAAAGTTCTAGAAAAATCTAAATTCCACGAATCATTCATAGGAGTAATTAAAGCTATTTATTCGAGTCCAAAAGCAAGAATTAAAGTTAACGGTGCCCTTTCCAAAACATTCAATCTTGAGAGGGGTAATAAACAAGGTTGTCCAATAAGTCCCTTATGCTTCGCCATCTTTATTGAGGCACTGAGCCAAGGCCTCATCCATAATAAGCATGTCTCTGGAGTGACAATGTTTGGTCACGAACATAAAATCTCATTATTCTCTGACGATATTGTAATCTATCTGACAAATCCAGACTCCTCTTTTCCCAATCTTATTTCATATCTAGACTTGTTCGGTTCTGTATCTGGCTATAAGCTCAACATCCATAAAACACAATTACTTAGATTCAATTACAATCCCAGTCATTCGATAACCTCCAAAATCCAGATTGATTGGGACTCGGAATGTATAAAATATCTCGGAGTGAATATTCCAAAAGATCTATCTAAAATATTTGAGGTAAATTATAAACCCTTGATTGAAAAAAATCATAATGATATCAGAAGATGGGACCTGCTACCTATATTTAACTTTGAATCCCGGGTGGAGACAGTAAAAATGAACATTCTACCCAGACTGTTGTATTTTTTCCAAACACTCCCCATTCAAATTTCTAATGATCAATTCAACCATTGGGATAAGTTAATTTCTAAATTTATATGGCAAGGGAAAAGACCGAGACTAAGGTTAAAGACTCTTCAATTGCCAAAAGAGAGAGGAGGACTAGCCCTGCCCTGTTTAAGGGATTATTACACTTCAGCCCAGTTTAGAGTCCTTGTGTGCTGGTGCGACTCAGAATTCAAAGCCAGATGGAAAGAAATTGAAATGAGCTTCTCTGACAGTTGTTCACTCATAATAAAATTATTGCAACATTGCGTAAAATAAATGAAGGTTGCCTCTGCAGCTACACTTCACCTTTGCGTGGTCGCGGGGGATGCATTCTGTGAACGCAAAGCAGTGGGTGAATGTAGCGAGGATTGAAACAAGCGCGGGAGACGCTACAGATGTGGGAGAAGCCTCAGGAAAAACACATCGCTAATCGTGTGCTCAGATCAGTGAATTTATTTCAATCCAAAATTTCGTTTTACACTAAAGATATTTCACATTAAATGTTGACAAAATTCCCTTATCTCTAACCACTTTCAAACTACAGCTTTTTGAAATCTTGATACAAAAATTTACATTTTACAACATGGCCGCCGCCTTGATGACGTCACAATATGCAAATTGGATGACGAATCAACTTCCACCCCAAGTGTTGCTTCATACTGAAGATATGTCTTTTGCAGTATGTCTGTATCTCAAACCACTTTAACGTTATAGGCTTTTAAACAAAATTGTAAATGTTTTTGAAAAAACTAGTGAAGTTTGTTTATGCTGTATAAATGTTATATTTTATTAATTTGTATATGATTTTTTCTGTTAGACTTTATGAATGATAAATGTTGCTACCCTATTGTACTGTGTACTGTTATTGATGTTGTTGTTGTACTTATTGTGTGTTTGTCATTGTGTTGCAGATATGGGATACGAGTCGCTGATCAACCTGATGCTGAAGGAGCTGTTCAAGCTGTTGGTGTCGTGTGTGTCGGAGCCAGCGGAGCCCATCTCCAGAGTGGGCTGCTCCTGTATCAGGTCAGACACACACATATAAAGACACACACATATACACACACACACCATTTCACAACATGGTTCCTACCTCTGAAACAGTTACATTTTCCAGCCAACTGGTGACCTCCCTCTTACAAAATGGTCTGTGTTGAATCTGCCCGGTGCATGTACAGTGCCTTGCGAAAGTATTCGGTCCCCTTGAACCTTTCAACAATTTGCCACATTTCAGGCTTCAAACTATGAAAGAAAGGATGACACCCGCACACTGTCCAACTTGCAAACACCAGTGGTTTATTAGCAACGTTTCGGCCACAGGCCTTCCTCAGGCAAAATATTTTGCCAGAATAAAAAATATTTTTTTATTCTGTGGCCGAAACGTTGCTAATAAACCACTGGTGTTTGCAAGTTGGACAGTGTGCGGGTGTCATCCTTTCTTTCATGTTTGGCCACCTAGTGCGCGCCCACTCCTACGCACCTGTCAGAGAAGAGATGTGCGAAGTCTACCTCTTTTAACAGGCTTCAAACTATAAAAATTAAATTTTTTGTCAAGAATCAACAACAAGTGGGACACAATCGTGAAGTGGAACGAAATTTATTGGATAATTTAAACTTTTTTAACAAATAAAAAACTGAAAAGTGGGGCGTGCAATATTATTCGGCCCCCTTGCGCTAATACTTTGTAGCGCCACCTTTTGCTGCAATTACAACTGCAAGTTGCTTGGGGTATGTCTCTATCAGTTTTGCACATCGAGAGACTGGAATTCTTTCCCATTCTTCCTTGCAAAACAGCTCGAGCTCAGTGAGGTTGGATGGAGAGCGTTTGTGAACAGCAGTCTTCAGCTCTTTCCACAGATTCTCGATTGGATTCAGGTCTGGACTTTGACTTGGCCAACACCTGGATACGTCTATTTGTGAACCATTCCATTGTAGATTTGGCTTTATGTTTGAAGAAAAGCAGGCCCAAACCATGATGCTGCCACCACCATGTTTGACTGTGGGGATGGTGTGTTCAGGGTGATGAGCTGTGTTGCTTTTACGCCAAACATATCATTTTGCATTGAGGCCAAAAAGTGGTTTCTTCTGACCAGAGCACCTTCTTCCACATGTTTGGTGTGTCTCCCAGGTGGCTTGTGGCAAACTTTAAACAAGACTTTTTATGGATATCTTTGAGAAATGGCTTTCTTCTTGCCACTCTTCCATAAAGGCCAGATTTGTGCAGTGCACGACTGATTGTTGTCCTATGGACAGACTCTCCCACCTCAGCTGTAGTTATCTGCAGTTTATCCAGAGTGATCATGGGCCCCTGGGCTGCATCTCTGATCAGTCTTCTCCTTGTTTGAGATGAAAGTTTGGAGGGACGGCCGGGTCTTGGTAGATTTGCAGTGGTCTGATACTCCTTCCATTTCAATATAATTGCTTGCACAGTGCTCCTTGAGATGTTTAAAGCTTGGGAAATCTTTTTGTATCCAAATCCGGCTTTAAACTTCTCCACAACAGTATCTCGGACCTGCCTGGTGTGTTCCTTTGTCTTCATGATTCTCTCTGCGCTTTAAACAGAACCCCGAGACTATCAAAGAGCCGGTACATTGGATCATTCAAAGATCCTCACTGAACTTCTGGAGTGAGTTTGCTGCACTGAAAGTAAGGGGGCCGAATAATATTGCACGCCCCACTTTTCAGTTTTTGATTTGTTAAAAAAGTTTAAATTATCCAATAAATTTTGTTTCACTTCACGATTGTGTCCCACTTGTTGTTGATTCATGACAAAAAATTAAAATTTTATATCTTTATGTTTGAAGCCTGAAATGTGGCGAAATGTTGAAAGGTTCAAGGGGGGCGAATACTTTCGCAAGGCACTGTATATGTCAACTAGAATTTTAGTTGCAATTATCACTGTCACCAGCTGGTGGCAGTGCTGATGCTTAGCCTGCCTGAGAGGCTGCTTCCAAAACACATACATTTGCGTTATAGCAGACCCATTCAAACCATGTCACAACCATGGACGTATGATGGCATATGGAGGGTGTTCCCATCTCCACATGGACTAGAGGCCAGCTGCGGTACTGCAGCCTAAATCCATTATGGGCTGTAAAGAGATTTCCCCATTGACCCCAGTGTTCTCTAAAATGGCTGGTCCTCAGCCCAGAGGGAACTACCGCTCACAAAGGAGGGTTTTGTGGGACTTTTGTAGTGTCTCTTGTCATGCTGAACTTCCATTTTTCTTATGAAATTCATTGGTTTTCTACAAATCCACACTTTTGTTCAATGAATTCAGCTCGCTCCATCCCGCTCTCATCAGCACACCTGCTGCTTAAGACCAGGAGAACCACACCTGGTAATTTCTGCTAATGTTTGGGACGTCCATGGTGCGAGCGTGAGCCAATGAGCACAGGCATCTGAATGAGTGGACATGTTGGAGTCCAGGGGTAGATATCTTGGAGATCTAGAACAGACATATTGGAGACCTAGAGCAGACATCTTTGAGACCTAGAGAAGACACCTTGAAGATCCAGGTCTTGGTTACAACATTGTTACAATCATGTCAAGTTAATACTGAATGAGAGTTAATGAATAAAGAGTGTTTCTGTGGTGTGCGGTGCAGATATGTGCTGGTGACGGTGGGCCCTGTCTTCACTGAGGAGATGTGGCGTCTGGCCTGCTGCGCTCTGCAGGACGCCTTCTCCGCCACGCTGGAGCCCGTCAAGGTTAGCCACAACACTATACAACTATTTGATAATCACAAGGATAGTGTAGCACCTTTCAGAAGTTCCAAAGTACTTAACATAAAACATACGGTGGGAATTACAATTCTAACGTAGGCTTTATACAGATTGACAATTCTCCTTTGCCACTAATGGAGCCTGTGGGGAGTCGAGCCATCATATCTTTGCAGCAATGACATTTGCTAAACATTCCTCTTGCTCCAGCTTCAATTTCTTAATATTTGGAGTCGAACAGGAACAAATTACTTTACTATCTTTACCATTTACTTTACCATTTGCTGCCAAACTACCAGCAAATTTGGCGCAAACTCTTGACATCACCGACAGCTACAACACCTGCCTCCCCCACTTGGTGATTGGTTGGCTAAGTGTTTACATTACAACATGAACAAATATTCCCGTGTGGCCTCTCATGTGAACAACGTGTACTTTTAGAAACATTTAAATAAAAAAACAGGTCTGAACAATGCTGTATTTGTTATCTTTATTGTGATGTTAGACTTGTAATAACGAGTTTGTAAAGGGCGGGGAGACATGGACAGACTTGTAACAAGCAGATCTGCTTTGGGAAAAGTGCAGAGACCTGAGACCAGGACAAATGTGACTGTACTTCCTGGTTCTAGTCAGGACTCAGTGAGTAGGCCATTACGGTAGTCTGACCTTCTGCAGATAAAAGCAGGAGTGTTTTTGTAGCGTGTTTTGAAGCTCCATGTTGTATTTGTGCTGCTGCACCACGTCCTGCTGTAGAGACCCAGCGCCAGTGCAGATAATCCTGCCCCATGTGAGCAGGCGTGTGGGACAGATGTCGTGTCAAAGCTTGTCAATACGGTGGACATGCGAATACTAACGCGCCGTAAGCCGCTGGCCCTAATACTTTAGTGCACTATTACTCCTCTCACAAATTACACGGCGACACTGAGGGATTACAGCTGTGGAGTTCAGCGCAGAGGACCAGAGCTCTGCTCCTGCTGTTTGGACCAAATGACAAAGACACTTTTGGGAAGAACAACTAATTCTCATGAAACACGCACTGACTCTCTCTCAGAGAGACTGCAAATGCATAACACATGATTCATCTTCTTGATCACCTGATTCTGTATGTTCATCTAAAGTAAAGCCCTGAGTCCACCATCCCTACTCTACTCTACTCTACTCTACTCTACTCTACTCTACTCTACAAAGGGGACAGAATGACTGATCAGTATAAAGAAAAGGATGGATGGGGCGGTGTATCATGAGATTTTGGTCTTTAACCTTCTTCCATCAATGAGTGGAAGATAATATTTGGATGGGTCTCCATCACGATGATCCCAAACAACGAGTGTCTCCTGAAGAATTTCCAGGTCCTGGACGGGCCTCATTCTCCCGTGCTGTTGCCCAGCAACAGCCCTATAAAACATCACAGCTCTAGAAAAAATCTGCAAGGAGGAATGGGTCAAAATAGCAGCTACAGTGATGGGGAACCTGGTGAAGACCTACGGAAAAACTTACGGAAAAACTTTTTGCCATCACTTCTGTCATCGCCAACAATGGTCTAAAATCATATTGTGTAATTGCCTAGATTATCGCACTTGAAGTGTACCCATGAGGAATCTTAAAGACCCTCCTTTTTTTAAGTTGGACGACTTGAACAATTGACCTCGGCCAGCGCCGTGTATTTTTGTGTGTGTGGCTAAACCCCTGTCCTCTCTCTCCCCTCAGTACCTGCTGTGTGTGTGTGTGTGTGTGTGTCTAACACCTGTCCTCTCTCCTCAGAACCTGCTGTCCTGCTTCCACAGTAGTGCAGATAGCTCCAGTGCAGACGCCTGTGAGGTGAAGGTGGCCGCGCCCTCACACTGCCCCTCCGCTGAGGCCGAGTACTGGAGGATCAAGGCCATGGCCCAGCAGGTCACATTTCTCCTCCTATCTACCTCACCCTTACCTGACCCCCATCTCCCCCACCCCCATGTCCCCACGTCTTACACAACCCATGTTCCACACACATGCGGCTTCACAAGTCTGCCAAAGTCACAGACACGCACATACAAACATACACAAACACACACACATGCTCACACACACAAACACAGGTGTGTGACAGTGTGTGGCCCACAGGTGTTCATGCTGGATTCCCAGTGTTCTCCAAAGACGCCCAGTAACAAGGAAGGCTTTGAGCACGCTCAGTCCTGTGTGCTGATCATCGAGGTGCCAGCCGAGCCACCTCTCACCGGCCACGCCCACAAGAGGTACTGCCCCTTGAGGCTCGGAGACACACTGCATGCAGATCTAAGGCCTTTTCCACAAAAAACTCAGTCAGGTCTAAATGCAAATACACCTCAATCTAGTGTTTCATCCATGCAAAGACATTTTGGGAGTCTGGTTCTAGTTCTAGGTTCTCGAAAGATCAGTTGAGACAGACCAGAGAGAGACAAGAGAGAACGGAGAGTGGCAGATACCAGAGATAGAGACCAGAGAGAGCAGAGATAGACCAGAGAGAGAGAGCAAAGAGAGACCAAAGCGAAAGACTATAGAGAGTCTACACAGTCCATACTGGTGAATACGGATTTTTCTATCACTGTATAAATGTACCTGACTCTCTCCCTTTTATTTAACTGCTGCTGCTTTGACAACAGGAAAATAGGGTAAGATTTAAATGTCTCATCCTTGTACCCACATTGCACACACATTTAAAAACACATAAATCACAACAGCAATCGTCTCTTTGGACTTTATAAAGTTGTGGATATGCCAACAACTGATCAAAAACAGGAAATACAATTAAAAAAGCACATCACAGCCTTTGTTCCATAGGGAGCGGGGTGACCACTGTCCAGAAATGATAATACATGTCCTTAAATGTCCATAGACCCTCCTGTATTGGTCTCTAATAAGGCCCTGCCCTGCTTAGCTTCACCGGACTGATGGCATCTGGCTTTCACATGCAGGTTGCTCCTGACCATATGATTGTGTACTATCATTTGTTTTTCATAATTTAAATCAATCCTTCTTCTTGGTATAATCACAAATCAGCAATGGGGAAAGGCTCTTTTCTGTATCAATTAATTTAATGAATTACGTCCAATCAGGAAGCTGTGGAGGTGGGTCTAACAGGTGCAAGCGTTTGTGTCTCCATCTTCACTAAAGTAACTGACTTCAAGTGCATAATAACAACAGTATCAGGGTTTGCATGTTCTTTAAGTCTTGGCTTTGTCTATGTCTTTAAAATCCCGGAGTAACCTCTGGAGATTTGTCAGATTACAGATTATAGTAAATCTTCAGAAACACAATATAGTTTTTGTTTGTTTCGGCCTACATACATGCTACGTTATATAAGGCAAATGGGAACTTTGTAGGGACAGAAATGTAATCCTGTATATCTTTGACACATTTCTGAGGTCGAAGTAGAATACTGAATATATTCCTTATTTCAATATTATGAACTGGACAAGGAAGAAGCCTGTCCATCCATGGCAGTAGGTCAGACTCTCAATATGGGCTTTGAGTCGTTCAGGACAAGACTTTTTACCAACATTTCTGGACAGACTCTTCAATCTGTTTTTAGTGTACAGTCCTCCGAGACAGCTGCTGTAGTGATTTAGGGGCATAAACAAATTAATGTACCGTATTTTCATCATCTTAATGTTTTTTTTAATACTTGCACTTTTAATTTGAACTGTATATTATTCAAGTTATGATTGTGTTGTCGAGGACTACAGGTGGAAAGGAGCTGGTGCTAAACCTGGTGCAGCCATCTTTTTGATGCAACTGCACATAACAGAATTGCTGAAGATTTGTCACTGAACGTTAACAACAGTCAGTGACTCACTTTTTACTCTTGCTCTTGTCACTCTCAGTATAAATCAGACATGAATGTTTTTGAACTACATTTTTCAATATTACAGTGTTGGACAGGTGGGGCTTATGATCCGGTAGAAGTTAAAGTGAAAAATTCAATTTATTTCAAAAAATTGGAGCCTGCGGCTTTTAATCAGGTGCAGCTTGTATTCTGAATAAAACCTTATTGAATAAAGGACAAGGCCTGCTCAGCACAAGGCCAGATTCAAACAGTATAAAGCAGTGACGTTTGGTCACATCTAAAGTTCTTAAATCAAATGTCTGTTTCCAGGCTGAAATCACTGATTTACAACAATACAGAGGTTATTTGTTGATAAAGTTAAAGTTCATACACGTCCATCACAAATCAAACTGAGTAAAGTAAAGGAGAGAAGGGCTGGCTGGCTTCAGTTAGCATTACTTTGGTCCAACAGAAACAGAGTCTTGTAAAAAAGTAAAATGTTAGGAACAATTCAAACCCAACATGCTCCATATTTCACTGTCACGGTGTGGATTTTGTGTTATTTTGGTTCTATTCTGACTTGTTTTCCCTGTGTTTTAGTCTAACTTCCTGTTCCCCTGTGTTGATTGTCTGCCCCGCCCTGATGTGTCTCACCTGGGTCAGCACTAGATCATATACGGAATCGGGACGGAAGCGGAAGTAAAAATAACATATATTCATGCCTAAACTTAACCAGACATTCCCATAAAATAACCCCAACCCACCCTTAACCCTAACCTTTACCGTCTTACTTAAACACCTAAAACTTAACCAGTCACCATTTAAGGACGAATTAGTCTAAAATGAATTTGAAAGTAGGATTGTTACTTCCGGTTTCGTCCCGATTCCGTATATGATCTAGTGCCGACCGTCTCACCTGTGTCATGTGTGTCTGTATGTACCTGTGCTCCTCTTGTTGCTGGTTCATTGTCTTATTTTGCTCATGGTTTGTCTGACTTTGATTTTGGATTTTGATTTTGTTTTATTACCTTTGGACTTTTGTTTCATTAAAACCTTATTTTTGACATTCCTGCTATTTGAGTCTTCCATCACTTCACCTCATGACGTTTACATAGTTGTACAGGAGAGCCCTGTGAGTCGTTATTTGACTCTTTGGGCATAGAGCTGATTGGCTGAGTGAAGGTGGTCTTCTCTTTTTTCACTTTTCTGTCTGAGAAAGCTGATCTGAAGATGAGCCCTGACAATATGTGAAAAGTGGAACTTGTGACATGGATTTGTGTGTTTTGAAAGTTAGGTTCCTCAGCTTTAATTTCCATTCTTGAAAAAAAATGTATACAAAATAACTGGGTATTGTGTAACTTTAATAATTACAGTCTTGCCATGTGTGTGTGTGTATTTCTCTATGTGTGTGTGTCTCTGTGTGTATGTATGCATGCGTCTCTATGTGTGTGTGTCTCTGTGAGTGTGTTCTCAGGATCCCATTCCGGAGCATCGTGGTGTCTCTGCTCTCTCATCAGGTGCTCCTCCAGAACCTGTCGGATATCCTCCTGCAGGAGTTTGTGAAGCAGCCTGAGGGTCAGGAGCGTGTGACCCCCGTAACCTCTGACCCCTCCAGTGCCCCTGCCGGCTTCCTGCGATACATCTCCATTCCCAACCTCAACATTATCCTGGACCTGCTGCTGGACTCCTACAGGTGAGGGCCCTCCCTCAGCACGGCCTGGGACACAACAGCAGTCCCCTCACAGGACTGTATGGAGTTCTGGGTTCACCAACAGGACTGAGGCTGTAGACCCAGGACAGAGGCTGTAGATCTACTGTAAGTCTGAGGTTGTAGATCCAGGACTGAGGCTGTAGATCCAGAACTGAGGCTGTAGATCCAGAACTGAGGCTGTAGATCCAGGAATGAGGCTGTTGATCCAGGACTGAGGCTGCGTGGTGCAGGACTGAGGCTGCCAAGCCAGGAAGGGGGTCAGGCAGTTCACAGATACGGGTCAAAAAGGCTGGATTCAGCGGTCCCATCATCACGCTATGAAACAGACAATGGGGCCGCGGGTGAATAGCAATGAACAGACTACTGCTGAAAAATTTAATATTTTGCTGTTGCCATACTTCTCCAGCAGGGGTCTCCATATGCAGCGTCACTGACAATCTGTGCTTTTTTCTAGGACTGCCCGGGACTTTGACGCGCGCCCCGGCCTGAAGTACCTCTTGATGAAGGTGTCCGGAGTGTGTGCCGCCGCAAACCTGTACCGCCAGTCCGCCATGAGCTTCACCCTGTACCTGCAGGCTCTGCTGGGGGCCATCCTGAGCCAGGCCGACTGCATCAGTGCGCATCAGGTACCACATTGCATCAGCGCGCATCAGTTACCACAATGCATTTGAATCAGCTACTGCGCTGCATGCACACAGTGGTTAGCACTCTTTTCTCAGCAATAAGCTCCTGGGTCAAATGCAGAGGACACATTACAGGGAAATGCAACACACTCCCTGCACACATGGGCAGCTCGGCAGTAATGTTTAAATTATTCTTTAAATGTTTATGAATGTTTCTAGCATCATGTTTGTCATGTTCGTTTACTAACAACTTCCCAAATAAATAAACACGTGAAGCAGTCTCAATCTGAGGTGTGCGTGTTTCCAGGTTAAGAAGATCTTGTATGAGGAAGAGGAAGGCAGCTCAGACTCCTCCCACCCAAACTCCGCCTCCTCTGAGGACGAGGACATCTTTGAGGAGACGGCTCAGGTGACCACACGAACCATTCCAGCCTCAATGTGTGAGAGACATGTGTTCCAATTAGAAACCCAGTGGGAAAAATGTGAAAAACCACTGGGAGAGCTCCCACAGAAAACACGGAAAGACTTTAGATCCAGGACTGAAGTTGTAGACACAGGGCCCCAGCTGTAGCACCAGGACTGAGGTTGTCCACCCAGGACCCGGGACCAGAGACTCAGGCTGTAGTCCTAGATCAATTTATTTTCTTTGTTAATTTTAAAATATATTCCTAATTCATAGAAAAATCCTCTTGTTTTGACCTGAATTACAAAAGCATTGCCGAAATATATAAATTGATGCACATATAAAATGAAAATAAATCATTGCTGTCAATGTATAATTTTGATTTATCTCATAAACGTTATTGTTATTCATCAACAGAAAAGGCGATTGTATTGGAACTAATTAAGCAAAGGTTGAAGACAGAGTTTAATGCACTTTTGAGCTCAGCCTGTGCTCATGTCTTCTACTGTAGTGAATTCCTTTTCAGATTACCTTGAGTTCCTCTGCGTGTGTCTGCACCCTACTCTAACCCCGCCTCCTGCAGGTGTCCCCTCCTCGCGGCCGGGACAAGCGTGGCCCGTGGCGAGCCCACGAGGCCTCCCTGAGCGTGCAGCCCGTGGGCGTGGCCGACTGGGCGTGGCTGGTGAAGCGGCTGTACAAGCTGTGCATGGACCTGTGCTCCAGCTACATCCAGATGCACCGGGACCTGGAGTGTGCCCTGGAGGAGCGCTCAGGCCTGGGCACGGAGCAGCTCCTCTTCCTACCGCTCTTCCACTCAGGTAGCTCCACCCCCAGCTCTGTCGGGGGGTTCTCTGCCCGTGGGACCCCCTCTGAGGAGTACGGCTACAGGGGCCACACGGGGGACACAAGCACGTCCTCGCCTGGGGATACGCCCACGCCAAGCCCCGGATTCAGGTCAGCGCACCAGTGTCTATACACAAACACCTTTACAGCTGTGTGTGAACTCTCAGGCCGTAACTACAGGAAAAGCAAGTTCATATGTAAAGCACAGTTCATACACAAGGTAACTCAAAGTGCTGCGCAAAACAAAAGAAACATAAACATCACACAAGGCATTTAAATAATAATAATTACATTAAAAAGAGTGAAGATCCAGTCCAGTTGTTGCAGCTAAACAGCTTTTTAACCTGGATTTGTCACATTTTTAGGAAAACTGTTGCAGATTTTAGCTGCGTGAATCTAAAACGCTACTCTGAGGAGTACTGCCACTGGTCTCCTACTGGTGCTCAGAGTCCCAGCAGGAGGCCATCCCTGTGCTCCTCAGAGTCTGATTTACTTCATATGACACTTACATTTGAACTATTCTGCGCAACATGATGTTTGTTTCATTGTGAAATAATCCGTTGAGTTGTGTGTGCTGTTGCAGTGGCAGCCTGCCGCATCACTTCAGGAGCAGCAGTGAGAGCCGAGAGCCCGGGGCGGGCGTGGGACCCAGCGGGGGGGCGACCGCAGGGCCAGGAGTGGGCTCAAGCGTGGGGCCCGGCCGGAGGAAGGAGTGGTGGGAAAGCGCTGGGAACAAGCTGTACACTATGGCCACAGACCGCACCCTCAGCAAACTGATGCTGGAGTACAAAAGGAGGAAGCAGCAGCCGCAGCAGCAGCAGAGCCACCTCAACCTCTTCATGAAGGAGCAGGGCCGCACAACTGACAAGAGGGGCCCTGCCGAGCCACCCCGGCCCCTGCAGAGACCACAGCACCTCCTGGAGCAGCAGCCCGGGCCCCCCCTCAGACACTCTGTGAGTGCGGGGCCAGAAGTGCTGCGACAAGATAAGAGGCCCCGCTCTGGCTCCACAGTGAGCTGCCACACCGTGAGCCTGCGGGACGCCGAGGCACAGATACAGGTACACCTCTGTGGGAGGAGCACAGTGGTGCTATCCTTAGTTCAAAATCTATAGGGTCTGAAATTGGGTCTTAAAAGACCCAGGTATGGTCAAGTTAGGATGATAATTAAGATTATCAAAATTCAGCAAAAAAAATCTTATTTTTTAATCACTGTGGCTGCAGAAGGGTATTTCTATTCTGTTCAGTTCAGATCATTTTCACCTCAGCTGAATAATCTCACTATGGAAGAGTAGTGGCTCTACTCTGAGTACCCTGGTCCTCAGTCTTAATGCTCATTGTATTCCCCAGGCCTGGACCAACATGGTGCTGAGCCTGCTGGAGCATGTGCTGCTTCTGTCCAGTGCCTCCTTCCTGGCCCTCCAGCCGGCCCTGTTCCCCTGCCTCAGTCAGCTGTCCTGCCACGTGAGTGACCCCCGCGTGAGACAGGCCCTCCGCGAGTGGCTGGACAGGGTGGGCCGGCTCTACCATATCACGACTCCGCGCTGCCCTGAAGCCAAGACCGTTGAGTAACCAGGACCTGCCCCAGACCATCGTGTGACCAGGACCTGCCCTAGACCACAGAGTGACCTGCCAGAGACCACCGAGTAACCAGGACCTGCTTCAGACATGTGGCGGAATGGACCCCATGCACAAAAGTTAAAGGCCCTCTACTCGATTACTCCGCACGTATAATAATCCAATCCCAGTGTGTTCATTTTACAAACCGACTTTCTGCTGTTGTGTATCATGATGACGTATCATATTTTTATTCCTTGATTGTAATCAATGCTTTTATTCCTTGATCGTAACCAATGCTTAAGGCCGAGAAACATTGAGCCCACGACCTCGAGTGGCTACGAGTGGCTAGTCTCAGTCAGTCCCAGTGTCCCCCGTGGAGCAGCGTGCACAGGGCGGTCGTAGTGGTTGGTTCCACACTGCAAAAAATGATAACATTTGAGGTCATAATTGCTTGAATTGAGTGTTTTTTAATCTTAATTTGAGTACATTTAGTCTTAAAACAAGTCTTTCAAAAGAGATAAAGCCATTCAGTCTTTTTTCAAGACTTAATGGCTTCGTCCCATTGGCAAATCTTGTTTTAAGGCTTGCTTTTCATCACTTTTTGTGGTGGGACGCAACATGACGAGACCCAACCGCATCCAACGTGATGGAGCACAACCGTCAAGGGGCTGACTCTGGGCCTGTCCCCTGTACATGTAGTCTGCACTACATGTACATCTACTTTATGTTACTTTAGTTGTTACTTTCTTCTTTTGTTTAATTTTATTTACTTGAACCACAATTTTAATTTTTCAACACATTATTTCAAGCAAGAACTTGATCCCAGAAAAGAAAATGTATTTATGATTTTGCGTCCATGTTGAATATTTGTGATCTCAGAACATGTGGATCTACATTATGACTGTGGGAAACTGTGTTATTCTCACGTGATAAACGTCAAACAGGTGGAAAAAACACACATTCTGGAAGCGAGGTGATGAAAAACCCCTGGGTCAGAGTTCGGGGAGCAGGTGGTCTCCTCATGGGTCCTCTGTCTCCAACACGCCGCTTCCCTCTGCACTTCTGTTTTTCTGTCTGCCACGATCTCAGTGTTCTGCACAAACATTAATTCAATTTATTTATGTATAGCCCTACATCACAACATTAGTTATCTCGGAGGACATTACAAACCGTTGATTTGCCAACACAGATCAGAGAATCACAAGAACAGTTAAAACACAGGAAAATGCATCAATAAAAAACACATAAAACCACTGGTCCATAAGGGGCAGAGACTAATGTCCATAAATGCATGTTAGGCGTTTTAGCGTGTGCGCAGATAAACACACCTCCAGGGGAAATCATTCTGGATCGCGGAACAGACAAAAGAAGGACCTGGACATGCGGGCAGTGCTTGAGTGTTTGAGTGGCAATGTCACATCACTTTGTGCGTTAGTTATCTGTAAAACGCTTGGACTATAAGCGGCTCATGCATAAGACTCTGTTACCATGGGAACAATCAGCATCCTGTGGACGACAATCGCTAAACGTCACATGCACAAAAGCCAAAGATGTTTGTACCTTTGAATGCTTCGCCACATGTCTGTGTTCTGTTCTATCGCTGCAAACATGGCCTTTCTAGTCAGGCTTAAATTCACTTCAATTCAGATGTGTTTTTCTCGTCAAGATATCAGACTATAGAAACTTCTAAGTATGAGGGACGCTTTAGTTCATTAGACTTGTCCAGGGGTGGGACAACATTGACTGACAATCCAATCCAATCCACTTTATCTATATAGCACATTTCATAAACAAGCAGTTTCCAAAGTGCTGTACAACAAGCAAAACATGGCAACAAATAAATAAATACACACACACATATATATAAAAAAATAAAAAATAAATTATAAAAACTTGAGGACCACACGACTCACGCGGTGTTAAAATACAGAGAATAAAAGTTAGACTGGATTCTATTCTGGAATTGAAAATGGATAGAATAGGTCCATATTGATTCACACCACAGCTAGACTTGCACCATATATAGACATTTGTGACACAATCAAAAACAAGTATAAGTACATACAAATAAAGCTGATGACTGGATTCCAAGCTGCCTTTACAGCGAGGTATAGTCTGACCATTTGATGCGTCTAATACAATTAGACAACTACACCTGAGCAGGATTACTTCACTAAAGTGTTAACCTATAGAAAACCGAAAAGAAAAAAGTTGTGAATGACAAGAGGCCCTAAAATCCTCATAAAGTCCTCCTTTGTGAAAGCTGTAGTTCCCTGTCAGCTGAGGACGAGCCGTTTGAGTTCACACAGAGGTCTATTGGGAAATATCCTTAGAGTCTGTGTAGATTCAAGCTACAGTACCGCAAGTGGCCTCTAGTCTATGTGGAGACAAGTTTAAGCAGCAACACCCTCCACATACTGTCATATATCTACTGTATGCCCTGAACTGGTCGAGGTCACATGTTTGCAGTATCTCTCTTGAAGCCTGCACCTGTTTGTATCTGTATCCTTTCTATCGTGTGCCATGTGACAGTGCACGTATTTGTATTTGCAGTTTTTCCCAAATGCAAGAAAAATACATGAATCTGTAATCGCTCTCTTCGGTTAGAAATAATCAAGAGATATGTTCTCGAATCGTAACATTGTATTTCAATATCTGTGTCATTAAAAAGTACAATACCAGTTGAATATTCCTCAGGTATTTCTTCCGTTGTGGATAATTCAGATTATCAGTGTCCTTAGACCCTCCTGTGTCGGAAGTTTATTTATTATATCTTTTATTTAACCAGGAAAATACCTATTGAGATTGAGATCTCTTTTTCAAGGGAGTCCTGGCCAAGAGGTCTGTAGCACACGTCACAGGCGCTCTACAGAACAACAATAAAACAGTACAATAATACTACAAAATACAAACAGCAAAACTACAAAACATTTACATAATCCAAAAAACTAAAAGCAAGTTTAAAAGCATGAGCACTTCGCAATGGTTGAGAGCTGTTTTTTAATGAGAAGTGAACGGAATGCGTTTAGCGAGAACAATTTCAACCACTTCAGTTCTGACTGCAGACTGTTCCATGCAGCAGGAGCAGAATGACTAAGTGCCTGCTTTCCCAGCTCCGCCCGGACACGTGGAACTTTCAGAAGGTAAGAATCATTGGAACGTAAACTGTACAGTGCTGGCAAAAAAGGCTGGGTTCAGGGATCCCATCATCAGGCCATGAAACAGACAATGGGACAGTGAGCAAAAAGCATAAACAACATTAGCAGAAGTAATAATGTTAATGTGAATTGCTAAAGTAGGAGAGAGGAGAGAACTGTGCTGTATAGCTGCGTCCAAGTCCATGTTGTTGTCCCGCCTTCAGTAATCATCTGTGTGTAGTGTGCGTGTTTGTCTGGAGGCAGTATTGTGCAGACACCAGTGGGGGGTTGGAATGAATAAATGTGTAGATGTGATGTATGAACCTCACAAGAATGATCTGTGGTCTGTGCTCTCCGAGGGCAGGTTCTAGTTATTGTTTTACCTGGATCATACTTGAAATTGAATAATAGAGTGGGGATAAAATTGTTCTGACTGACAGCGATTGGCCAAAGTGCCTCAGATACTGGTTTGTTGTGGGTAGAATGCCAGGATACAGCACCAGATACTAAAGCTGAATGGAAACGCAACCAGGTAGAGAAAAGCCGAGTATAGCTGATGGAAATAAGGCTTTTTGTAGACAGCGTTTAAAATTTGCCTTCAAACAGAAACGACAGCCTGGTTTTCCTGATGTTTGTGCGGACGGAGCTGGATGCAGGTCTGTGACTAAGGAGGAGTTTGTTTATGTCTGTTTTCTCTGGATCTCACATCTGTCATTTATTTCAAACGTGTTGTGGAGTTATATATTTAGTTCAAAAGGTCGCCTCCATGACTGACTTCGCGCGTTTCGTCCCTTCACTTAGTATTATGTTGATTTTAGCAGCATAGCTGTTCTACTTTTTAGCAGCAGTGATGTCCCACTAAGCGTCTGACCCGTCCTGTCCCTGGCCTGCTTCTGGAACACGTGTGGACAGATGCTGCGGCTGTCAGAGTGATCAGCAGCTGGAGGATTTAGTTAAGTCCAAGTCCTCTATAAAAGCACTGCACTAATGTGGCACTATACGCACACAGCAGACTCCAGCTCCTCTGAGGTCTGAGTCCGAGTCTGCCTCCGAGGCTGAGACTGAGTCTTAGTCCAGCTTGGAAGGCCCCGTTTCCACCAGTCCTACTTGGCCCTACTCTACTCTCCTAGATTGTGTTTCCATTACTGTACCATATCATAGCAACCTACTCAAACAAACCAGTATCAGAGGAAATAACCATGTCTTCCAGCAGCACTCTGGCCAATCACTGTCGGTGAGAACACTTAGTACCAGTTCAGCCTGGATAGAACCAGGACCAAGAGGGACCTAAGAGTAGAGTCGAGTAGGGCTTATGTATCACCTGAACGACAGATAATAACGTCACATTTGTTTTCCTCTTGGACCCACTGGGAGTCAGGCTGAACAGACTTGAGGGCAGTTGTCATTGTAACAATATTACCTTTTAGGAATGGGGAGTGATAAAGACCCAGTCCCTCCGCCTTCATCACACGTACCGCCAGAGAACCAGAGCCCTTCCAGGACATATTGACAGAGAGACAAAGAGCGACAGAAGACAGTATCCATAGAAGGATTTTTAAAGGTTCATGATCAAATAAGCAAAATGTGCACTGACTGACACTTTGAAAAGGAGGTGCTGGGTCGTGATTTCAATCAGGAAGCAAACGCACGGACCATCAACAGAGACGATGGGGCCTGCCGCAGGCCTGACTTCATTTGACTGTTTGTCTTATTAGGAGCCTTTTAACCTTAAAGCTTTTGCTACCTGAAGGAGACAGACCTTAGAGAGAGACCCCACTCAGACATGTGTAGGGCACAGTTGCAAATTAACAACTCAATTAGACCTAGTTAGTTAGAATTATTTCGAACCTGTAGAACACACTTCCCATATCTTTA